CCACAGCCAAGCACCCCTAAGTCCAATGACTTAGGGGTGCTTGGCTGTGGTCTTTCTCAAGAGCCAGGGAGAGGGGCTGTTTGCCCCTAGAACATGTGTATAGGCCAAGGTGAGGGAGTATAAAGTATGGCTATCTTTGCTCCACATTAACAATAAAAAATAGCTACCACATTCAGGAATTGCATCGCAGCCTAGGCCCCTCCCAGAAGCAGTGCCACTTAATCCTTACAGAAACCCTGTGACAGAAGGACTATTAATCCGATTTTATGGATGGGAAGACTGAGGTTCTGAGAAAAAAATGACTTGGCCAAGTCATAAAACTAATAAATAGTGGACCTTGAAATGCAAGTATATGTGACCCTGCTACTGGGTTGTATGGCCTTTCCTACCATTGACATCTGTGGCTCTTCTACAAAGGATTAAAGGCACGGAAATTAACTGCCAAGTCAAATGAGATCATATCCTGAATCGGAAGTCAACTCAGCTTGGCGCTAAGTGAAAACTAGTGCCTTCCTCCACTCCTGCTCCCTCTTCCAGAAGGAAGCTATTTTCTAAACACCTTTTGAATAACAGCAGTTATTCAATAGATGAGTGAATTTTATTAACCCTGGGTGCTTGCCTTAAATTTTATTTTATTATTTGAAAAATATTTTTATTGATTTCAGAAAGGAAGGGAGAGGGAGAGAGAGAGAGAAACATCAATAATGGGAGAGAGAATCATTGATCAGCTGCCTCCCACACGCCCCCTACTAGGGATAGAGCCTGCAACCTGGGCATGTGCCCTTGACCGGAAGTGAACCCAGGACCCTTCAGTCCTCAGGCTAATGCTCTATCCACTGAGCCAAACCAGCTAGGGCTGCCTTAAATTTTAAAGTGTGTGAGAGAGTGTTTGTGTGGCAGGGAGAAGACAAGGAGAAGGGCTGAGGAAGGAGAACACTCATGATTCCTCCTAAGGTGGGCCACAGCGCTGTTGAAAAGATAAACATACACACATACTATAAGTAGTGTTTTCCAAAATGTAAAATAGCTACAGGTAAAGAAAGCCTTAAGATGAGTCCAAATGCTTTGGGTTTTGCCTTAGCCAGTTGCTCAGTGGTTAGAGCGTTGGCCATGAATTTTGATTAAGGTTAAGGGCACCTACCTTGTTGCAGGTTCCATCCTATGTGGGAGGCAACCAACTGAGGTGTCTCTTTCACATTAATGTTTCTCACTGTCTCTGGCCCTCCCTCCCATTCTCTCTAAAAATCAATGGGCTCTAACCTGTTTTGGCTCAGTAGATAGAGTGTCAGCCTGCGGACTAAGGGTCCCAGGTTAATTCTGGTCAAGGGCATGTGCCTGAGTTGCAGGGTTGATCCCCAGTAGGGGGCATGCAGGGGGCAGCCAAACAATGATTTTCATCATTGATCTTTCTATTTCTCTCTCCTTCTCCCTTCCTCTCTGAAATCAATAAAAATATATTTTTAAAAAATCAAAGGGAAAAAATATCCTTGAATCAGGGTTAATAACAACAACAAAAAGCTTTGAGATTTTTAATTTGTTTGTTTGCTTTTTGGTATGTGTGTAAATTCACAAAAGTAGAATGCTACCTAATATGATAAGCTTTAAGGTTGACAAACTAATGAATTCAGAATCAAGCATTTAATCAAACTTGTAGGTTTAAATTTGCATATTTGTAGTGTAATGAATCTCACATTGTCTAATAGACTAAAATTTATATTTTATTAGCATTTAGTTATATGTTTTTAAACAATAATTGATGCTTCATAAACTTATAATGAAATTTTCTCTGATGAATTTAAGCTAAAATATAATGAACTATGTTGTGGTTAAGTAATATGTTATGATATTTTTTAAATTGTTTTTTTTTTAGAGGTACATATTGAAAGAGATAAATTGATATGCTATTAAATTGATATCCTTCAAAACAGTGCAACTGTTTAGTATCACACATGAAAGAAAATTAGATTATTGAATAGCAGATAAGGAGGCTATAGATGCTGATGGAATTATAATTCCATTTCTAGATGAGATAGATGGGAAACTTCATGCAACTAATTTTGTACAGCCTGTAAAAAAACAACAACCTAACAACACCCTGACAACTAGATTGATTTTTCAGCACCTATAAATGAGATGATTTTAGAAGTACAGCAATAGTGTGTCCTTTTTTACTATGTGAAAAAGTTCCTTAGTTAATTTCAATGATTTGTCAGTTGTTGTTTTCTCTGACTGTGGTTATTCTCTAGTATTGAATGAATCTAGATTTTAAGCTCTGTTGGATATCCTAAAGCAAAACAACCAGGTCTATTGATGGCAGTTCCTAGTTCTTTTATAACAACTACTTAAGGTCTAATATTGGTCATATAAAAAGATAATAACTAAATGGTATTTACTACATTCATGTAAATTACCATTGCATACCGGAAACTGAGGCTCGGAGAGGTAAAATGACTTGCCTAAAGTCACCCAGCACGTAACTGGCTGAGCTCGGTCCCAAACCTTGAGCTCCTGGAGCAGTGGTTGGCAAACTCATTAGCCAACAGAGCCAAATATCAACAGTGCAACCATTGAAATTTCTTTTGAGAACCAAATGTTTTAAATTTAAACTTCTTCTAACACTACTTCTTCAAAATAGACTCGCCCAGGCCGTGGTATTTTGTGGAAGAGCCACACTCAAGGGGCCAAAGAGCCACATGTGGCTCATGAGCCTCAGTTTGCCGACCACTGTCCTGGAGTATTCTTTCCATTGGAGACACTGTCTCATTGCTTTGGCCTCCCTTTGTCTAGCAGTATCAAATGCCAACTAACGTTTTACACCACCGATATCCTTGTATTTCGCTTATTGTTAATCTTTAGTGTTGTCTATGTGGACATATTTACCAGACCTCTCAACAAAGGACATGTTAAATAACAACACTAGTATGGCATCAACAGAATTTAGACTGTGATAAATTTTACATGACCAGTTGCTTCAATAAATTTTTAAGGAAAACTAAACAGGAGTGAGTGCCTATAGATTAAAAGAGACAAGAGACAGACCAACCAAATACATTGTGTTTTGAAACTTGTTTGAATCCTGATTCAAATAAAACAATTGAAAAAATAATTATTAACCAACCAGGAAAAGTTAGACAATGGACATTTAACGGTATCAAGGAATTATTGTTAACTTATTACATGTAATGCTGGTATTGTGTGTGGTTAAGTATCTAAAATGTTAAGGTATTTTAAAAAGTTGTTATTTATTAAAGGTACATATTGAAAGAGATAAATTGATATGCTGTTAGGGAGTGCCTTCAAAACAGTGCATCAGGTGGCAATGATTGGTCTTTAGTTGGTAATTGTTGAAGCTGTGCTTGAGGCACTTGAGGATTCATTATGTTATCCTGCCTCCTTTTGAGTCTGTTTTACATCTTCCACAAAAGAATGCATTGCAGCCCCACCGGTGTGGCTCAGTGGTTGACGGTGGACCCATGATCTGGAAGGCCAGAGGTTCAGTTCTGGTCAGGGCACATGCCCGGTTGCAGATTCATCCCCAGTAGGGGGCGTGCAGGAGGCAGCCGATCAATGATTCTCATCCTTGATGCTTCCATCTCTTCTCCCTCTCTTTTCCTCTCTGAAATAAAAACATAAAATATTTTTTTAAGACTGCATTGTTTAACTATGAACCCAAAGCAGATCATTCGACTTTAAATTGCATAATGCCTCATTTCAGGAATGCCTCTGAGAGGCTCTGGAAGTAATCTAGTCCAATCTCCATGTCCCCTTTCCTTACTTTTGGGCACGAAGTGGGAGGTGAGGGAGTGGTGATGGGGAGTGGGGGCTGTCCTCTCCTCTTCCTCCCTCCAGGCCCCAGTTTCAGGCTGGATAACCTCCAAAAGATTTCTCATCTTTCCTAAACTAAAGCCTGAATGAGGGGGCAGGAGGGGAGGTGGTCGATGCAAAGGGGGAAATGTCGGTAGACAGCTTTTTGATGCCTTGTTTCATCTTTGATCTTGGCTTTGCTAATTAATCACTTTGTGGTCACTGCGCCGACGAATGTGTACCTTTAACGTTCCTGCTCACGTGACAATGTTTTTGTTTTAGAATCCCTTCTGCTCAACAGGAAATTCTCGGGGAGTGACGTCACCGCCACCGGTTACAGTCATTACTGTATTGACGGCCACTTGTTTTCAAAAACATTGCAACGTTGAGGTGCCGCGTCAGTCAGGACAATTTTAGAGTTCAGACTTAAGCCAGTATTTTTCTGTGATGTAATCTTTAGGCAGTATTGACCCTGGAGTCCTGAAAAAGAGCTGGATTTTTTTATTTATTTAATTTTTTTAGATCTCTGTTGATAAATTTCCCAGGTTGTGCCCGGGGCATAAAGCAGAGCATGCAGTACCCTCCCGCCGCCGGTAGGGGCACCCCTGGCAACGTTTGCTGCCGCGGTGCGCCTGCGCAGCTGGTCCCCACCAACTCGCCGTCGTCCCCCGACCGGCTAGCAGGGGGCGCTGTGAGGTAACGGGGCAGGCCGCTCTGCCTAGCGTTCTGGAACCGAGTGCAAAAGGGCAGGAGGCGCGGCGGGCGGAGGGGCGCTCTAGCCCCTGACTGCCGGTCTCTATCGCCCTTTGTCCTCCAGCCTCCCCGGGCGCTGGGCCTGCGGGCCTGGTTGCTAGGCGGAAGTGGGGCGCGGCGGCGGCGGCCGCGGCGGCAGCGGCCCGGGCGTTTGAAAAGCGGCTACGCCGGCGGCAAAAGGTCCTCAGGCGGCGGGGCGGCCCTGGCTGCGGACTGGCCCGGCGGGCGCGGGGCAGAGCCGCAGTTTGCCTGGAGTCGGGCAGGGTTCGGAGCCGGGGAGCCGGGCCGCTGCAGGCGGCGGCGGCGGCGGCGGCGGGGCCGGGCCGCGGAGCGGGGGCCGGGCGGCGGGGGTCCCGCCGGAGTGGGGGGTGTCGCGGGTCCCCCGAAACTCACCCGGGCCCCTTCCCTCCGCAGACCCCGCCTGCGGGCCGCAGACCGCGACCATGGTCTCCAAGTCCGACCAGCTGCTCATCGTCGTGTCCATCCTGGAAGGTGAGCGGCCGGGACTGCTGGGGCAAGCGCTGCTCCCTGAGCGGTCCCTGCGGCGGCGCGACCCCCCGGGCCTTGTCCTCCCCGCGTCCGCGCTCCCCGGGGGCTTTGGAGAGTTGTACGTGCCGAGGCCCGTTAGCCATGGATGGGAAAGCCCCCGGCCCCGGAGCGGCGGGAGGGAGCCGATTTCCAGCCGCAGCCCGTCGACGAGCAGGCGGGAGAGGGTGCCGCGAAAGCACCCCGTTCAGCTACCTCCCGGTGAAGGCGTTTTTTCTTTTTTTTTGCAAGAATAATCTCCCTTTGACTCGAACGCGCGTTCCTGCGGATCCCGAGCATTGCGGAGGCCGCTGCCTTGGCAGGTCTTGCAGGAGGACCTGGGGGTTGTCCGGAGGGCCCCGTGCCCAGGCCCTGGCGGTGGTGCTCGTTGGGGAGTCCTTGAGTGCCAGGCCCTGGGCTGGGGATGGGAGGGTCCACTAGGGCTGGTCCTGAAAGCTTAGGGATGGAAGGTGTGTCAACGAATAATGCACGGGGTAAGGAAGAGGGGGTGACCACCTTTTGGGGAAGCGGGGGGACGGGACCGGAGGTGGGAGGTGTGTGTGTGTGTGTGTGGGGTCCCTGAAGGAGGTGAAGCTTACTGGGTCCCTAAAGGGTGGTTAGGGATTTGTCAGGTGAAAAAAAGGAGGGAAGGAAGGGGCCTTCCGGGCAAAGGGAAGCGCCAAGTGCACCTGAGGTGTTGAAAAGCAAGGCATGTTCTGTGATTTTTTTTTTGGGGGGGGGGGGGTTTGTTGAGGGTGAGAGGGAAGTAAACACTGTAAACCCCCGATTTTTGAGTTTTGGAACAGTAGGATGACAAGAAACCATAAAGAGCTGGGATAGTTTTAACTGTCAGGTTACTGTTGGAAGTCATAGGACTTGAAATCCCATTGTCGTTTTGTTGAAAGCTTTTGGATTTAGCGCTGTATCCCATGCTGTGAGGAAATGGAAATAGGAGGCACCCTCTTTCCATTCAAGGATGTGGGGGTCTTGTCTACTTGGGAGTATCAAATCAGTGTGCAGGCAGGACATGGCATGTTGGGGTATATACTATATTGAACATGTATGATATGAGCTATAAACATAGGTTTGGGGGATGGGTGGGAAGGATGGCTGAAGTGCTCTGAGTGGTAAGCTTTAGTTAGGTGGACAGAAGAGTCATTCCAGGCGATTGGACAGCCGGGGCGATGAGGGCCTGAGCATGGTAGGTGGGATGGTGAAGAGGTAGCAGACGCAGACGAGCAGGGTAGGTAGGGGAAGGTGAATATTGAAGAATGTGGTGAGAAAGAAGCTTGTGTAACTAGAGTGAACAGGCCTTGAAGGATCTTGAAAGACAAATAGTTTGATGTGCTAAATAACAGAGAGGCATGATATATTCCCAGACAGGATAAAGTTTTTTGCAAGTTTAGTAGCAGCGTGCGGGGTCGAGAACCTGGACTCAAGGAAGTCAGTTAGGTGTTGCCACAAACAAACCTAAAGCTGGCATTTGGTCCTCCCTCCAAACTGTTCCTCTTGTGTTTGTATTTCTATTCATCATAACCACGCTGTTGCCAGAGCCTGCGAGTCACCCTCTTCCTCCCTCTCCCCAACTTCCAAATGGTCACCAAGAGTTGTTGCTTTTATTTTTTAAAATAATAGCAGATGGTTCATAGAAACTTTAAACGAACTTCCATTGTGAGTGCCCTGCTTTGGGGTCCTCATCTAATCTATTGTAATATTTCATAAGTGTTTCCTTCCTTTCTAGAAAATACCTCGCGTCCACCTTACTACCTGGGGATACTCTTTCTGAAATGCATATCCCATTTTCTTAAAACCCCTCGCTGTCCTAAAGGATAATGTCTGTATTTCTTAGAATAGCACACCCTTTATGGAAGACCACTTGCATTCCTTTCCGCCCTCTCCCTCCCTGCCACCTATTCATGTTTCCCAGCCCTTCCACTGTACGTATTGAACTGCTTGCAATTTTTTGACGACTCTTCGAGAAATGCCCTTTCTTCAAAAGAAAGTGACTGGGTTTCTACCACGAGCAGAATTTGGGCCATGTACTGAATTTTAAGGATGAAAAAGACAGGGTTTCTGTCCTCAGGGTGTTCCTTGTCTTTGGGGCGAGGCAGGCACCTAGTTATTGTACTGCATAGCCTCTGTTCTCAAGCTTATTGGAGGTCATCCTTATGATAGTCTGAAAATATAGGGTTTTTTTTTGACACGAGAAATTCATTTGGGGAACCTAGTGATATTTTAGAGCAACTGAAAATGAGGTCCAGAGAGAAACCTGTGAGTGCTAATTGGGAGAGCCAGGCCATATGTAGCAAGATTCCTATTGGGGAGTTCAGTGAGAGCCTCACGTGAAATTCACAGGTTTGCAATCAAGGTGTTTCTTAGCTTGTACCAGGGTGAGGAGCAGCAGGGATGAATTTATTTAAGAGTGATTAAAAGACTTTAAAACCTGTTAACCAGGGAGTTCCCTTTTTAATTATGCAATGTATAATGGGCGCATACTCTTTCACTAGGACGTGTCAGTACGTCACACCCGGTGGACGTAATTTCATATTATTGTTTTTTTATTTAAACTTAATTAAAATAAATGAAATATATTTTTTCGTTTATTTATATATAAAGCACAAAGGAAAATATAAAATTACAAACAAATAGAAAAGAATACCAACAAAAAAATGGAAACATCGAATTAAAAAATTATAAATTTTACAAACAATTATAAAGATTACAAAAAATATATACCGTCCCTCTCAGGGCGCAACATATATTTCAAGGACGTATTCATATGTTCTACCCGTTCCCGATAGTGTTTACATTTGACGTATTTATAAGTCCCGCTCGGTTAACAGGTTAACCAGATCTGCCTCACCAGACCTACAAACAGGTCTACTGCAAGATTCTTGCTGCTGCTTCCTTAGTTCTTTAGCCTCCTGTTTTTAGGGTTTTATTTCTTTCCACCAGACCTTCATTCCTTGAGGGCAAGTACTCTGTTTTACTTTTTTTTGCATCCCATCATCTGACATAATCCCTTTTTCTGAACATGCCTTTGGTAAACAATGAAAAAACAGTATCAAGAAGTACTAATGAAATGTGATGCGTAGATAGAATGCTTAATATTTCTTGCAACATTGTCCTTGAGAACAAAATGAATGAATACAATTTCCTTTAGCTAATTTGGAAAAGTTTAACTGTTAACAAAAAAAAAAAATCAATATACAGATACATTTGCTTTATTTGCTAATTTGACTATTTCCTAACTCCCCAGATGACTTCGTTCTATAGTGCTTTGTACTGGTATAGTAATATCTAAAAATGGTATAATGACATTTTTAATTCTTCATTTCTAAATGTTGAGATTATTGCTGCTCAAGGTGTGAACAAAGGGCAACAGCATTAACTGTGATCTTGTTAGAATACAGACTCTCAGGCCCACTCTAGACCTATTGAACCTGTCTTCAGTTTTAGAGGGTCCCAGGTGATTCATAGGTACATTCATAGTGTTTGAGAAGCAATAATTTATAAATTACTAGAGGCCAGGTGCACAAAATTCCAGCACTCTCTCCAATCTGGGATCCCTCTCGCAACCCAGGACTGCTGGCTCCCAACCACTCACCTGTCTGCCTTCCTGATTGCCCCTAACTGTTCCCCTGCCGGCTTAATTGCCCCCAACTGCCCTCCTCTGTAGGCCTGGGTCCCCCCCCAATTGCCCTCCCCTGCAGGCCTAGTCCCCCCCAACTGCCCTCTCCTGCAGGCCTGGACACCCCTAACTGCCCTCCCTGCAGGCCTGGTTGCTCCCAACTGCCCTCCCTTGCTGGCCATCTTGTGTCCACATGGGGGCAGCCATCTTTGACCAAATGGGGGAAGCCAACTTGTGTGTTGGAGTTATGGTCAATTTGCATATTACATCTTTATTATATAGGATAACTTTAAATTTGATTGTTTTTTATGAACACTGATTTTGAGTGCATATGTGAATATGTGTGTTAGTAAGGTAGTTTATTGAATATATGAAAAGTACATGCTAAATCATATTTGACTTTTGTATACTTTTTTTTTTAATTTTGTTAATCCTTACTTGAGAATATTTTTTATTTTTTTTAGAGAGTGGAAGGAAGGGAGGGAGGGGAAGATATCCTCCTATCTAATAAAGAGGGAATATGCAAATTGATCATCACACTGTAACAAGCTGGCTATGCCCACAGCAGAGGCAGAGATCCTGTAACCCAAGATGGCTGTGCCCACAGCATAGTCCAGGTTCCCATAACGAGCCTTAACCAGCAATTAGCAGGGACCTGAGGCTGCGCCTCCATGTGGTGGGGCATGATAGGGGACCTCAGGCCACACCCCCCGCCCCAGGCTGGGGGACCTCAGGCCGTGACCCCTGCCTGGCGGAGCTTGATGGGGGACCTAAGGCCACACCTCCACCCCAGCACTGGGCTGAGGGACTTCAGGCTGCACCCCCACCCTGGCACCGGGCTGGGGGACCTGAGCCGCACCCCATGCCCTGGCACTGGGCCATGGGACCGGAGGCCAGGCCCTCCACCCAGCGGGGCTTGACGAGGTTGGGGCCGGCCGGGTCTGGATTTAGCCCTACAGGGGTGAGGCCAGCTTGGTCTGGGTCTCATGCGATTTTGAGGCGCATGTGGGTGGGCAGGAACTTGATTCTGGGTCCCTTGGTGTGCCCCAGACTCTGACAGGAGGAATATTTTCATATACATTTTACTAATTTCTTTCATCTCTGACACTTTTATTACAGAGAAAGGGAAAATAGCAATATTAAAATATTTCCTCTAATCCTATTTAATGTGCACAAATTTTGTGCACCGAGTCACGTGTGTGTGTGTGTGTGTGTGTGTGTGTGTGTACAAAAAATGCCAGGTGTAGTGGCTAAAAACTTAGGTAGGCTCTGGTGCTGGGTTGCCTGGGCTCTACCACTGTCCGCTGACTGAGGACAAGTTACTTCACCTCTTAGGCCTCAGGTTTCGCATCTGTAATGTGCAGGATAAGAAATATGGAGAGAGAGTAAGAGAAACATGGTGTGAGCAAGACGTCAGTTGTTGCCTCCTGCATGCCCCCAGGAATCAAACCCAGGATTCTTTGGGGCACAGGCCATTGCTCTAACCACTGAGCCGCTGACCAGTCAGGGCTGAGTTTTGTAGACTTTTATTAATCTATATACTCTTATTTTTTTCCAGGTCGCCATTTCCCCAAACGTCCAAAGCATATGCTTGTAGTAGAAGCAAAGTTTGATGGAGAACAGTTGGCTACTGATCCTGTGGACCACATTGACCAACCAGAATTTGCTACCGAGTTAGCCTGGGAAATTGACAGGAAAGCACTCCATCAGCACAGGTGGCTGTTACTTTCAATTTGTTCTGTTCTTTTTCAGGGTATTGTAAATAAATTTATTAGATTATAGTAATAAAAAACACTCAAATATGATTATTAATGTGCCAGGAAATTTTGAAAGTACTTTGCTACAGTAATTCATTTAAAAATCAGAACAGTTTTATGAAGTAGTTGTTGTTCTATCCCGCACATTACAGATGAGAAACCTGAGGCCTAAGAGGTGAAGTAATTTGTCCTGAGTCAGCGGACAGTGGTAGAGTCCAGGCAACCCAGCACCAGAGCCTACCTAAGTTTTTAGCCACTACACCTGGCTTTTTTTTTTTTTTTTTTTTTTGCTAATGTCAGAATAGATATTCTAGAAGTGCTATGATAATGCCTACCCAATATTAAATATGCTTTGGAATTCATTGTAATTTCTGTTTATCGTATATTTTACCTGGCTTGCCAAGGACATATAGATACGTATATAGTATAATTATATAAAGGACTCTAATTTTATTCTTAATTTTAGACACTTAAACACTTTATTAGTATATAAAGCAGACTATAAGTTACAGTCTCTTATTTATTTTATGAATTCTCATGACCAGAAGCAGGCAAGAACACTGATACTTTTATTTTTAAAAGGATTTAAAGTATATTTCCCCTGGGAACACACAATCACTTCAGTACTTAGTACTAAATCAAAACAAAATTCAGAGTTAAAAATTAGAGCAATAAGAAATTTACTTCCTTTTTTTGCTAGATCAGTTCCTGGGTTTATTATAAGGGAATAAAATTCTTAGAGAATATAAAAATTTTGTATTTGCTTTCAGTGACTTAGGAATATTTAGACAGAGTCCTGATATAAATCGATATTTGTGTCTACATTGGTGATTGTTTTTACATTTTTGTTAGTGCTCACCAGTACCACTCTGAATGAATGTATAGGCTAAGAAGATAATACAGATAAAATGAATATATTAATGATGATTTTTGTGCTAAGTGCAGGTTTCACAATCATCACACTAGATAAAAATCACAAAATTTAATCAACTTACCTCAAGAGTCAATATAGAGATTCCAGGGGCAAAAACCCCCATGCTGTACCAGTCAGGGCCATGCTTACAGGGACATTGTCTTGTATTACATTACATTACTGTTGATTTTAAGAGCTTATAATTTTATGGTATCTAATTCCTTACTTTATTTTGGTTTTTAGCTATTAAAACTGTAAGCCTATGTGTATATTTGTAGTATGTGTGTGACAATATAAGAAACAATTTAAAATCAATCTTAATGAATAGTGGTAATTTTTTACTTTAAAGGATTTCTATACATTACATAAGCTTGAAAATATTGACTTAAATGATAGCCTCTTAGATGAGACACTAAGATTTTGATAAGTTTTGTAAATAGTTGGCATATAGATAAGTAGATTAATAGTTCTTGCCAGTGAGTTTTTCACAAAATATGGAATCTTGATAGTAGTAGGCAGTTTTGTCAAGGGTAGTATAAAATCAGTTCAATGTTAAGTGAAAGCCGTTTTACTTATCACCTGAATTTTTACATTACAGGCTACAGCGTACTCCTATCAAACTCCAGTGTTTTGCCTTGGATGCTTTGACTTCAGCCAAGGAAACTATAGGTTACATTCTTCTAGACTTAAGAACTGCTCAAGAAACAAAGCAGGTATTGTCCTTTTGATATTTGTTACTGATTATGTTAGGCAGTTGTTTATTTTTCAAAATGTACCAAGCAGATTGATGAGAAGGACACGGAATACTGGGCCTGATGGATTATGGGCTTAAAAGGCAGTTCTTATGTTCTAGTTTGTGAATTTGATTTAGGAAATCCTGATCTTCTAATAATTTCATTGACCTAGAACTATCATTCTCAAGCTTTTCTCAGAGCTCAAACCTGTGTTACCTAGAGCTTAACATCTCAACTCCTGGACTTTGCTTTCAAAGGAGGTCCTCTTCCACTGTCCCTTGCTTCAGTGAATGGGCACCATCTCCTTTCGTTCTACAAGCTAGAAATATAGAATCTTCCTTGTCAGCCCACTTTTCTGCCTCTTTTCAGTTAGTTTTTTCCCCTTCCCACTTCACCTACTATTCTGCATTTTCCCTGTTGAACCTAAGCCACCATCGTTTCTTAACTTGGCTGTCATGCCAGCCTTCTAATTGGTTTCCTTGCTTCTTACTCCTTGCCTTCCCTACATAATAGAGAGAGTGAACTTATTGTAGCCCACTTAATACAATGTAAACAGCAGCCTCCTCTCATCCTGTTAAAACAAACAAACAAAAAACAACAAGAGAATTCTGGATCCTTATTTTTGTGTTAGTGCTTTTCATTATTGAAAATATTTTTTCTTATTTCTGTTTGAGTATCTTTTAGCCTTTTTGTACATTATTTAAATATGTTTATTTTTAGTTTCTCTTCATGTCTTTGTTTTGTCTCAATTTTTTAAAGTAAAGTAAAAATTAATATCTTTTATTTTAAAGTTCTCTCATCGATTTGAATCTTAAATTAGGATTTTGTGAAGAAAAATTTATCTGTTACTAACATTTTTGATATTTGCAAATGAGCCAATCAACCTGGCCCAAGTTCAGAATCATTCAAAAGAAACTGGAATTTTTTAAATGCTTTAAAAGAGGACTTGTTTATTCCCAATCCTTGGATACTCATCACCAATCTGCTCTTAGGTCTTAAAAAGGTTTTCCTTATTTAGTCTTAAATTCAGAACAAGGGGCCATGCTTGTACCTCAATGTTTCTCTTACCCAACTTCTCTGCTGCAACTTGCAAGTGTCCAGAAGACACTTCTGCAGTCACTTTGGTTACAGAGAAGGCCACTCCTTTTAGGAGGAGGGTATCTGAGAGGACATTATTCAGGGGAGCCTCTGAATGCTCTTGGCATTTCTTTTCTCCGTATCTTGTTCTTTTTTAAAATATATTTTTATTGATTGCAGAGAGGGAGGGAGAGGGAGAGAGAGAGAGAAACATCAGTGATGAAAGAGAATCATTGATTGGCTGCCTCCTGCATGTCCCCTACTGGGGATCGAGCCCAAAACCCAGGCATGTGCCCTTGACCAGAGTTGAACCTGGGACCCTTCAGTCCACAAGCCGAAGCTCTATCCACTAAGGCTCCTTATCTATTTTTCGAGGAAAGTTCATCATATTAATGATTGGAAGTTAAGGAGAAGTGTTTTAAAATTACATTATTTTTAGGAAAACCAATTGTTGTCTTGCTTATTCTTTTGTTTTCCAGCAGAAATATATGAAGTTGGTCAGTAAAATATTTGTAATTAAAAATAATGTTATTTTCTGTAAACAAATAGCCATATATATAAAAGCCCAGCGACCAAATGGTGGAACAACCAGTTGCTATGATGTGCACTGTGGTAGCCAACTGCCCAGTCCAGCCCCAGTCAGCCCTCCCAACCGTCTGTGGCCCTTCGCCCCCCTGCCCCAGTTGGGAATAGGGCCAGCTAGTCAACTGCCAATGGCCCCTCTTCCTACTGGCCCCCATTGGATCCGGCTGGCCTGACCCCAACTGTGCATGAATTTGTGCACTGGCCTCTAGTAAACAGAAAAATCCAGATTTATTTTTCTGATTATATAACTAAAATAGACCATAAAGTCTACAAGTAGATAAAAATATTTTTTTTCAGGCATGTACTAAAAATTAGAAAATACTTGTCATAAGGATAATAACAAATTTTTTTTCTTAACAAGTACCACATAAAAGTAACTCAACAATTAGGAATTTTTGTCTTAAAAAATACTCAACTTGTTTGTTAATTTTTAAAAATCTGTGGCCTAGTTAATCCTATTTTGCTTACAAACAACTTACTGAACCAAAACAGCAGTTTTTGGTTTTGATCAGTGTAAGCACCAGACCTTGCCTTGATAAAACAGTGGTCAGAGCAAGAATGCTGTTTCTAAGTATGGAGATGGTGCCCTGCTGACCAGTGGTTCCTGCACTCGTATACACGTGGTCCTGGGCCATGAAGTTTTGAAGGCTGGTTTTGGTACTAGAATTTCTGAGATTACTCTGGGTACATAGGAGTAAAGATAGAAAGAAATATATTGTGTCTTCTTTAACATATTACCTGTTGAAGAATAGGAATAGGAGCAAGAAAGACACCCTAAACTTTTACTTCAAGAGGAAATTCTGTTAGTCTCATAAGCAGGATTAATTTCTTTTGAGGAAAATGTGGGAAAAAAATATTTTAATAGAGGAGGAAGTTCTGAGAAATGACAGGAAATCTATTTAGAACCTTATAGAATATTTCCCACTACTGCTTATTCCCTATTAACTATTATGGTTTTTTGTTGTTTTGTTTTGCTATTATTCTCCAGGCACCAAAATGGTACCAGTTGCTGAGCAATAAATACCCCAGGTTCAAGTCTGAGATTCAGATAAGCATTGCTTTGGAAACAGATTCAAAGGCGCCAGTGGATAGTTTTAAGGCCAAAGGAGCTCCCCCTCGAGAAGGAAAAGGTTTGTGCATCATCTCTAAGGAGAATTCGCATCTGTGGATTAGAACTTTAGGAAGGGTGGTGGGGGTATGTGTAGGAAGATATGTGCAGGAATGTCAACTGATTTTACTCTAGTCTATCAGGCAAATGTGACATTGTTACACAAGCAGCTGTTGTTGCTCTTAGCTCTTGTTTTAGGAAGGCTTAGAAATTAGGAAAAATTTTCTTTTTTTAATTTTTATTTGATACATAACTGAACAAAGTAAAATTTTGCATTGTTTTTAAAAATTGCTTCGGAAATTTTCTTCCTAGGATGAATGCAGGAAAGCCAAAAATAATTATGCTCTTCTCTATTAACTATAGTTTAACAAAACTTTCATTTGTTTTTTAATTACTAAATTCTATTTTTTATAACAGTTTTAGGTTCACAGAAAAATTGCAAAGTATAGAGTGTCCCCATATAACCCTGTCCTCACACAAATACACCTCCCACATTATCAACGTCTCTCACCAGAGTGGTACATTCATTATAATTTATGAATCTACATTGACACTTCATTATTGTCCAAAGTTCATAGTTTATGCTAGGGTTTATTCTTGGTGTTATACATTCTATATGTTTTGACAGATGTGTAACGACATAGTATAGATTATAGTATCTAACAGAATAGTTTCAATGCTCTAAAAATCCTCTTGCTCTGCTTGTTCATCACTACCTACCCTCAACCACTGATATTTTATCTCCATAGTGTCACATTGTTAATTATACTGTATTAGTCTTTTCAGATTGTACTCTTTCACTTAATAATATGCATTTAAGGTTCTTTCAGGTCTATTCATGCCTTGATAGCTCACTTATTTTTAGCACTTGAATAATATTGCATTATCTGGATGTACCACAGTTTCTTTATCCATTCACTGAAGAACATTTTTGTTGTTTCCAAGTTTTGGCAATTAGGAATATCCATTCAGCTGCGGTATGCCTTTTGATTGGAGCATGTAATCTATTTACATTTAGGATTATTGTTGAGAGTTACTTATTTATAGCCATTGTAATTCTGTATGGCTAGGTTTCTCTCTCAGTAATCCCTTTAGTATTTCTTATAATGCTGGCTTGGTAGTGATGAACTCCTTTAGCCTTTTTTTGTTTGGGAAGCTTTTTATTTTTTATTTTTTATTTTTTATTTTATTTTATTGATTTTTCACAGAGAGGAAGAGAGAGGGATAGTTAGAAACATCGATGAGAGAGAATCATCAATCAGCTGCCTCTTGCACACCCCCCACTGGGGATGTGCCCACAACCAAGGTACATGCCCTTGCCCGGAATGGAAGCCGAGACCTTTCAGTCCGCAGGCCGACGCTCTATCCACTGACCCAAACGGGTCCCGATTGGGAAGCTTTTTATTTAACTGTCTATTTTGAATGATAGCCTTGCTGATAGAGTAATCTTGGTCTTAGATCCTAGCTTTTCATTACCTTGAGTACTTCATGCCATTCCCTTGAGAAATCAGGTGAAGGTTTTTATGTGGATATAAGTTTTCATTTCATTTGGATAAATACCAAGGAATATGATTACTAAATCATATGGTTAGAGTATTTTTAAAAAAATCCTCACCCCAGGATATGTTGTTATTGGTTTTTAGAGAGGGAGGAATGGAAAGAGAAACATCAATGTGAGGGAGAAACAGTGATTGGTTGCCTCCTGTAAGCACCCCAGCCGGTGATCAAACTGCAACCTACTGTGTTTCCCCGAAAATAAAACATCCTCCGAAAATAAGACCTAGCGCATGGAAAAATAAGACATCCCCTAAAAATAAGACCTTGTGCATCTTTGGGAACAAAAATTAACATAAGACACTGTCTTATTTTCGGGAAAACAGGGTAGGTATGTGTCCTGACCAGAAATTAAACCAGCCACCTTTTGAAATTAAACAAGGCTCCAACCAACTGAGCCACAGCAAATGTGTTTAGTTTTATAAAAAATTGCCAAACTATCTCCCAAAGTGAATGTACCATTTTGCATTCCCATGGGCAATGAATGATAAGAGTTTCTATTGCTACACATCCATGCCAGCATTTTGTGTTGCTGGTGTTTTGAATTTTGGCCATAGATGGGTAGTGGTATCTCATTGTTTAATTTGTAATTCTGTAACGATACATGGTGTTAATATCTTTTCATATGATATCTCTTCATAGTTGCCATCTGTATATCTATTTTGATGAGGTGTCTCTTCAGGTCTTTTACCCACTTTTATTTTTTTTAAATATATTTTATTGATTACAGAGAGAGAGTTTCTAACTCTCTACCCTCTCTACATATGGCCTCTATGTATACCCCTAGCCTCACCTCTTTCATGTCAGTCCTACAGCACATGCTTTCTCTTGCTTCTGAGTGTACACACTGCTCCTTCTGCCTAGAATACTTTTTCATTCTGTCATTCTTTATTCAGTCACCTTTCTCTTTTTAGCCAAATTTTGCAATGCCTTTTCTGTGTGGATTATTAAATTGGAGTTTTAAAAAGGCTGTCTTGCCCTAGCTGGTTTGGTTCAGTGGATGGAGCATCGGCCTGCAGACTGAAGGGTCCCAAGTTTGATTTTGGTTGGGGGCACATGCCTGGGTTATGGGCTCGATCCCCTGTGTGGGACGTACAAGAGGTAGCCAATCAATGATTCTCTCATCATTGATGTTTCTATCTCTCTCTCCCTCTCCCTTCCTCTCTGAAATCAATAAAAATGTATTTTAAAGAAAAGGTTGTCTTACTTAAAAAAATGATTTATGTGCAGAAAGAAAATCGTGGTTATACTTAAAAATCAATGGAAACCTTACTGAGATATGAAGTGTTTCCAGAAAATGAGGAAGCAAATGAAACAGTATAATCAGCTTTCAGAATCTTTCAATGGTTTATGGCAAACTACAATGTGATTTAATTGTGTTTTCTCCATAAAGTACCTGCTAGCCTGCCTGGACTTGACCCCAAGGACATTGTGGCCGTCCTGAATGAGGAAGGAGGCTACCATCAGATCGGACCAGCAGAATCTTGCACTGACTTCTTCCTTATGTCAGTGACCATAGCATTTGCCACCCAGTTGGAGCAGGTGACACTTTTTTTAGTCATAGCTTAATAATTGTTGGGTCTGGTATTTACAAATTAGCCTGTTAGTGTTTCTTAGATGCAGTATAGGAAGGAACCTGAATATCGGTATAATTTCTTCAGTCCCACAGAGGTGACACAGGGGCCCAGGTTGCTCTGTGAATACAGTTTGCATCATAGCTAAGGGACACAGAACTTGGAGAATGTACCACTTTTATTGTTTGCAGTCCTATTCTTTGTCCGGAAGACATGTTACCTTAGCTCAAGTACTTGCTGCATAAGCAGCCCTAGGAAATGGGTGAGGATGGTCAGGGACTTGCAGTCTTGGCACAGTCAGAAAAAATGTGCAGGGGTGCTTGGGGCCCATGGCAGATTGCCTCTCCCCCAAATGGTTCAACATGAAATTCTGTTATTCCATACATTGTCCTTCTCAGGATTAAGCCCAGTGTTTTTTGAAATTATGTTGGCCTAGAGCAGCTGAAAGAAATTAATATTTTCAAAACTCTAATATATATATATATATATATGGCTAATATGCAAAGTGTCCCTTCAGGATTTTGACCAGAAGACAGTGGTCAGTTTGGTCACTTGCTATGATGTTCGCTAACCACTAGGGGGTGGTGCGGAACAAAGGAAGGCCCTGATTGGCCCTGATCACCAGCCAGGCCTAGGGACCCTACCCATGCATGAATTTTGTGCACCAGACCTCTAGTAGAGAATACTGCTTACGACCGAAATTTTTATTAGATTCCTCACTTTCTTAGAATTGTAAAATTCCCACATAGTTCAGATTTACAAGTGAAATGAGTTAGTGACCACATATTTATCTGACTTGTAAGATTTATCAAGTAAAGATTTTTTTTAGGAAATATGTTTAACTTAGTCACACAATTCAAGCCCACTATAAAAAGCACTTTTAAGAGCTTTACTCTTTTTCTCCTAATTTGATACTTTTATTTTTCTCATTGACACTTTGTCCTTTTGTCCTTTCCCCAAAAATAATTTTTTCCCTGAGAATAATTTGTTCAATTAGTGCTTTTGGGTTACCTGAGAACAACATACTACTCTGGTTTGTGAAAAGCCAAGTCCACTCTTGTTTCATTAAACACATCTGAACACACATTAGATAATAAGTTTACTGTATTTTTACTGTGTTGTTAAATATACTTGTAAAATATTTTAAATAGTTCCTTTATTCTTAATTTATATTTTAAAATCTTCATTGTTGCAAGTATTATAAATGTCCCCCTTGTCCCCCTCCACCTATTTCTTACCCCACCCTATTGTCCATGTCCGTAGGTAATGCATATATGTTCTTTGGTTAATCTCTTCCTGCTCTTCCCTCTGAGTTTCTTCAATCTGTTCCATTTTGGTTCTATTTTATTTATCAGTTTATTTTGTTTTTAGATTCCTTGTTTATTTACTTTTATATTGAATTGTTGAAAGATATGTATTTATGGCCATTTTATTTATTTTTTTATCTCTTTTTTTCTTCTTCTTAAAAAATACTCTTTAAAAGATTGGTGATGAACCCCTTTAGCTTTTTCTTGTCTATGAAAATCTGACCTTCATTTCTAAATGATAGCTTTGCTGAGTAGAGTAATCTTGGTTGTAGGTCTTTACTATTCATCACTTTAAATATTTCTTACCATTCCCTCTAGTCTGCAAAGTTTCCGTTGAGAAATCAGCTGATAGTCGTATGGATGCTCCCTTGTAGGTAACTAACAGTTCTGCTCTTGCTGCATTTAAGATTCTCTTTGTTTTTAACCCTTGGCATTTTAATTATGATGTGTCTTGGTATGGGCCTCTTTATGATAGATTTCTCTTGTTTGGGGTTCTCTATACTTCCTGGACTTTTAAGTTCTATGTCTTTCACCAGGTAGGGGAAGATTTCTGTCATTAATTTATTCAAATGGGTTTTCATTCCCTTGCTCTTGTCTTCTTGTACACTATCCTTTCTTTATTTCTGTTATTCCTCACCCAAGGAAGAGAGGGGGGAGAGAGAGGGAAAGAGAGAAAGAAGGGGGAAGAGGGGAGGAGAGAGAGAGAGAGAGAGAGAGAGAGAGACACCGAGAGAGGGAGAGACACCGAGAGAGGGAGAGAGAGAGAGAGAGAGAGGGGAAGGAGGATTTGTTTTAGTAGGATTGTGATGGAACAAAGTCCGCCCTCTGTGTTTGTTGTTTGTGGAGCTGGTTCAGTTGTGCTGGGTGTGCTAGTTCTGAGGTTTCATTGGAGGGCTCTGATGCAAGCCAGGGTCAGCCACTGACCTGTGCCTGATCCCAGGCCACAGCCCTTGTTAGCAGCTACAACTTGATATGCAGTTGATTGCCACTTCTGTTAGGCTTGTAGGCTCTTGGGAAAGGTTATGCCATGACCGAGGCTGGCTGCCACTAGTGCTGGGCTCGGGGACACTTAGGTGGAGGTACAGGGCATGCTAAGGCCAGCTGCTGCTTGTTTGGAGTTGGTGGACCTCAGAGAGATTTCAGGAAAGTCCAGTGTGAAGTGAGGCAAGCCACTGGTGTGGAAAAGCTGCTAAAAGTGTTTTGGACTAGGCCTGGGAGTGGGGTGGTATCTAGGGGGATCACCAGGGAGGGGTGAAGGCTGGCCCTGAAGCCAGACATTTAGTTCCTCCCTGTATTCCCCTAATGATGTGTGAGCTGCTCCCCCTGTGCTGGAGTTCAGAGCAAGTGTGTTTCAAAGTCAGTCTGGCCTGGACCTTTTAAGATCTGCAGCTCCTAGGTCTCAAGCAACCCATTGTCTTTCTCAGACTCAGTTCCCTCTGGTTTTCACAGTCAGGTGTTATAGGAAGTTCTCTTCCCATCACTGGTGTCCTGGGCTTGGGAACCTGGTGAAAGGCTGGACCTTTTGCTCCTTGTTGGAGACTTCTGCAGCTGAGATATTCCTCCTGATTCTGAATTGCCCCCATATTGGTTTGGGACCTGCCTATTTCACAACCTGTTCCCCTTCCACCAGTCTTTTTATCCTTAGTTATAGGAATTCTGTTCAGCTGCTCCCTGGGTAGTTTTTAGTGATGGTTATTCTATAATTTTGATGTGGTCATGGGAGGAGGTGAACAATAGGTTTACTTATTCTGCCCTCTTGACCACCTATATTACTTTATGCTTTATCTAAAATGCAAATTGTCAAGTTCGATCAGGAGACCAACTGCTCACTATGAAATGCGCTGACCACTGGAGGTGACAAGGGATGAAGGAAGGTCCTGGCTGGCACCTGGCAGCCAGGGAAAGCTGGCCCTGATCAGCCCTGATTGCCAGCCAGGCCTAGGGACCCTACTTGTGCACGAATTTTGTGCACCGGGCCTCTAGTATATAATTAAAAAATAATAAATAACTTGAATATTTACTAAGTGCTTACTATGTGACTTAAATCTTATTCATTTTAATCTATTTTAATCTAAATGGTTATAGTACTTTCATATAAACTGTCATACTGTCATACTTTTTTATACTTACAATATATTCATGTTACTGTATCATCATTTAGCTATAACACTTTTAAGCCATCACCTAATAATCAATTGTTTGTAGTTTATTGTTATTTTTAACAATGTTCTAGTGAACAATTAAAGATATATATTTTATGAGACAAAAATCCTATTTCTTCATCCTATGTATCCATGAAACTACCAACTTTGAGAACACTCCTAATGCAGAAGGCGTCCATTGGCAATTGTTAATTTATAGGTCTCTAAATTTTGATATAGTAACTAAAAAGCTTTATTTTTTATTTATTTATTTTTTTAATGAAAAGCCTAGACCAAGGTGTTATATTAAATAGCCTGTATTAAGATTTTTTAAAAACATCCTCTCATTTATGAAGAGGATGACAAAGTAAGGAAAAGATGAAATAGGGTATGTGGAAATAAGGAAAGCTTAATTTAAAACATTCATTTTCTTCTAAAAGAACTTTGATGTATTCACAAGTCAGTTTAATGAAATGTAAGACAATATAAATCCATAAAATTATTTTTGTCTCTGTTCTTTTCTCAGATAAACTTCTCAAAATTAAGTAAACTAATAATTTGGATGTATTTTTTCAGAGATTTATACACTTTGAGTGATTGATTTAATACACGAAATTTAAAAAAAGCAGTAACATTTTTGTAAATATTTTTGGAGTTCATCAGACTATTGCGCATGTTTGGTGGTTTAAGAAGTAATCCTCTTTTTTTTCTTTTCTTAAATGTTTATTTAGTTAATTCCATGTACCATGAAACTTCCAGAAAGACAGCCTGAGTTTTTCTTTTACTATTCTTTACTGGGAAATGATGTTACGAATGAACCCTTCAATGATTTGATCAATCCAAACTTTGAGCCAGAGAGAGCGTCTGTTCGAATACGAAGCAGTGTAGAAATTCTTCGTGTTTACCTGGCTTTTCAATCTAAACTACAGGTACGTACTGCAGAAAATTGTTTTTTATTAGAGATGAATTTTTTAAGCATTAGAGAGGTACTTAAACCATATTATTTCAGTGGTAAAGGTCATTTTTCTGCCACATCTTTAAACTTTTTAGTAATTATCCTGACTAAAGTCATAGCATAGTAGTTACTTCAGAATTTTAAGAGATGTATAATACTTCTTTCCTAGTTATTGTGAAAAAAATTGTGTCAATTATCAGTCTTTTATAATAAAAAATTATACCTGGAGCCTAATGCTGTGAGCATAGTGAAGGTTCTGTTACTATGGAGGTGGTAGCTATAAGCATACAGATTCCATTTTAGAGTTCAGAATTTATATTCCTATTGCTATCAGAAGCAAAGAGATAATACAATTTTTTAAAATCTGCCTCTGAATTGAATATTTTTTAAAACGAATTTCAAAGTAGACTCTAAAACTGAACCTTACCTAGTGAAAACTACTGTTTTATTTTTATTACAATCGCTTTAAATCAGCCTGACATGGGGTGGTCATCTTTAGGGTTAGATAGTCATTTTTTTATAGTAAAGTGATTAGGCGTGTGTTTAGGGTGGGAGGTGAAAAGAGACATTAAGGAATTTTAGTAGAACTAAATTTTAGAGGTGGTTCTGCTAAAGTCAAGATATTTAGAAAGCTGAAGACTTTATGAAATAATAAAATGCAGGAAAAAGCACATTTAATTTTATTATATATCTAACATATCAATACTTACCTAAAGTCCTGACTTGTTAGTTTGATTTTTATGGACATTGAAGTCATTAAAATTCATTCTTTCCAGTCCATTAAAATCATCACATTAAGTCTTAAGTTTCAGGTAATTTCTAATATTAGAACTAAAAATATTTTTGTGTTGTGATTGCTTATTGTTCATATGAATGGTAAGTTTGCCAATGCTTTGATATAGTAAGGGAAAAGAATATAGTTATATAAATGCATCTGAAATTGCCTTTTTGTTGTTGTTGCAAAAGGTGGTAATGCTGAAGTTCTGATTAGCTATAAGTGGTTATTAGTGATTAACAGTACATTTCATCCAGGGATAGTCTCTTTCACCTTTTACTGTTAAGCACCAGCTTTATAAATAAAGTCTGAAGAGCAAGAAAAGAGAAAAAGAAACACTCCAGGTATTTTATGGGTGAATGAAACAAAATTATTTGAGGTTCTTTAATTTCCAAACATAACTGGATCTGCTAATTTATTTTTTAGAACTGTGTTTAAATGGAAATAGAAAAAAGTGTTGAGGTATTTATTTTTTTATTTAAATTCATGTACACATAATACAATTTGCATATGTAAATAGCATAATAAAATATTAAAGTTACCATAGTTCATCAAAGAGACAGAAAAAAAGAAAAGGTTGTATCATATGTGAATAGCACTGAAAGAAAAAAATGAAAAGGAAGTAGTAGTTTTATTATTGAGTTCTTGGTAAACTGTGTGCCTGATCAGTAGTTTTAACAATCGCATAGAAATAAGATTACTTAGTTGCTGCAGGTTAGTAAGATGACCTGCATTATACTTGCCTTCTGTGAAAGTTAAGGTTTTGTTAATTTTTATAACTTTTTAAGTTTGTATTTTAGGAGAAAGAAGAAAACATAAAACTCTGACTTGATTTTCCCTTTCATATTAGATCCATCTCTGCTGTGGAGACCAGTCACTTGGAAGTACAGAAATACCTTTAACAGGATTATTGAAAAAGGGTAGTACAGAAATCAACCAGCGCCCAGTCACAGTTGAGGGTGCTTTTACCCTTAACCCTCCAAACCGAGCCAAACAAAAGCTTGCACCTATTCCTGTGGAGCTGGCCCCAACTGTGGGAGTGTCTGTGGCTCTGCAGAGAGAAGGCATAGATGCAAAGGCAAGTAGTGACCCTCCTTCCCCTACAGCAGCTTCTCCAATTTTGCTTAGTATTCTTCACACAAGTTGAACTTCAGAAGAGTTCTCAGCATTAAGGAAGTGTTTATTACTCTTAATCGCTAGCCTACAATTTTATGATAGGTCCTCTCTGAAAAGACATTTCTGAAAAGCATTGTTGCTTCCACTGCTGTGGTATAGTGACTGTATCCAGAACATTTGGGTATAGTAGTTTCATTATGGAGTGGAAACCATTCCTCTGCCCCCAACTCATAGTCAATGACTATGGCAGAAAAGGAGCTCCAGAAAAAGAACATTTTCTGGAAATCTGTGTTAATGGTATTTATTTGGGTTGATTCATCTGAGCTAAGATAATGTTCTTGATCAATTGGGGTTTATAGTTCCTATACTCTTCTTTAGGCAATAGAGATGGGCATTTATTTGAACATACATGATTTTTTTTAGTGTATACATCCCCCAACCAAGTTTAGAATCCTGTTCTTTTAAAGAATTTATCTTTATATATAGTTTATGAATTAAAGATTGAAAAACTGAAGTGAAAGCTTAATATATATTTATTTAGTGAGAGAGAGAGAAGTAGACAAAGGAGAGGAAGAAAATCCTAGTAGACATTGATGTGTGTTTTTTGAAGGAATTTAGGCCTTAGTAGAAATAACCATTCTCAGGAACACCTATGTCTGACTACTTTTATCCAGTATTCCTCTTATGCATTAGTATGCATTTTGGTTCTTAGCTCTGGATATATTTCCTTCCTGTTCATCTTCCTTTTTCTGGTCCTAGATGCTATAAGGATATTTGCAAATTATGAAGAAAAATAGACTAGGAATATCCCGACTGGGAAAGGAAGCTTATATTTTTAAAAAACAACATCATTTTTGCTTAATTATGAAGGAAAGTTCTTTGCAAATTATACTTTATTTAAAAATTGTTTTTAGTCTTTAATTGAATTAAAGACCCAGAATGAACATGAGCCACAGCATTCAAAGAAGAGAGTTTTAACTCCCATAAAGGAGAAACTTACTGAGCCAAAGTCACCAAGTGTGTCCCCTGTTATGCCTCACAACCAGTCACCTCCAACAAAAGATGATGCAACAGAAAGTGAAGTGGAAAGCTTACAGTATGATAAGGACACAAAACCAATCCCAAAGGGTAAGATTCTTTTTTTACAGACCTATTAAATATAGATTTTGTAGCCATTTAATAAATGACTCTGAGACTTTTCAAGGGATCTAAATAAAAATTGACTTTTTTAAAGAACGAATAATGTGTGGCAATGTAAAAAAATTCAATTTAAAGTAATTCTATTTTATTTAACTTCACTATAGAATTTGCAAAAAGGTAAGAAAATTTTTCTTTCACTTTTGCACTAGAAATAGTAGCCTGTTCAAAAGAAATAAAAGAACATAGTTCTTTCAAATAGTTTTAACTAGTAAATTCTCAAATATCTTGAATACATTTGGGTTTTAGAGGAAAGGGTTATTGTTTCTTAAAGTAACTTTGTAATAATTTTTTATCCTAACAGTTAAGAGAGAGCCTAAGAAAACATATTTACCTGGCTTCATAAAAATTTTCCACCCATTACATAAAGATCCACAATCATGCTTAGTAGTGTTAAGTAAGTAAAGTAGTGCTATATTATGAGTTAGAAATTTGCGAGTGAGTTGTATCTCTGTCACTGAGCAACTGTACAACTTGGGCCACTCATTAAAACACTTCTGGCCTATAACAGGAGTAAACTATAATAGATCGCTCTGTTTTTTCAAGTCTTAGATCTTTGTTAGACTATGTCATATGTACCTAAAATAACTAAAACTACTTTAAAAAGTATTATAATTATATTTGCACTGAGTCTCAAATACAAACCCTTCAAATGCTAAGTTCTGTTCAGCTGCCTCCTGGAAATAAGGTAATGCCTGTCAAGCTATTGGCATACATAACCGCACTGGTGCTGCATGCTTTTATGTTGCAATGCACATAAAGAGGAAGCTCTTTTTCCTACACAGTTCTACAGTGGGAATTAAAGCTTGCATAATTTGGACAAGTCACTTATGCCTCAATTCCTATGTTTATAAAACCAAATAGTCAAGTTCCTTACATGAGGGTCAGGAGATATCTTGAAATTATTTAGATAACTTAAGAGAAAGTGTTAGCAAATGGAATTTAAAACCAAACCAAACATTTTTACCTTTATTTTAGCCATCAGTTCTTCTGTACCCGCTTTACCGGCCCAGCCGGTGACGGCATCCAGCGCTCCGGACACAGCTTCAGGACAGAAGATTGCTGTTCCAGCCACGTCACACCATTTTTGCTTTTCGATAGACCTACGGAGTATCCATGACTTGGAAGTTGGTTTTCCAATCAACTGTATTTTAAGGTATGATTTGATTTAGTTTGGTTTCAAAGTATTTTCCAAGGAGAAATGCCTTTTTTCTGTTGGGCAAGTTGCAGGAAAGAAGTGCCACCAGAGAAGTCATAACGTTTGTTGAATCAGAGTGTTAGAAGGGGGTGAGGCTGTGTCCCAGTGACTTCAGAGTTAAACCAGTCTGGCATTGGTGGCATGAGAGGCAACAGTCTTTACTATGCTAGTGTCATAATTGAAAACATTTATAATAATTTATTAATGGTTTTATTAAAATACTGTGACTCTTGCCGAGACCGGTTTGGCTCAATGGATAGAGTGTCGGCTTGGGGACTGGAAGGTCCCGGGTTCGATTCAGGTCAGGGGCATGTACCTTGGTTGCGGGCATATCCCCGGTGGGGGGTGTGCAGGAGGCAGCTGATCGATGACTCTCTCTCTCATCGATGATTCTAATTCTCTCTCTCTACCTTCCTCTCTGTACAAAATCAATAAAATATATTAAAAATAAATAAATAAAATAAAATAAAATAAAATACAGTGACTCTTGAACTAAAAGTGTGTTGTTCCTAGAAATAGTGCCACAGATCAAAATAATGGAAGGCACCTGATTTTTCTGTAAAAACTGTATCATAATGTGAGGTTGTATTCCCCAAAACTATATATTAAAGCTGTGACTCTAAAGACCATACTTTGTGAACTGTAAGTGGAATGCGTCCACACTCTTCAATATAAAAAATTGAAAATATACATTTTGGTCAATTAAATGGCTTTATACAGTAGTTTGTTTTTAGTAATATTACATTTTCATAGAATGTTGTGGCTAAGATATAAATTAAATATACAATACTGTGTTTTAGTTTGGAGTAATTTCTTCTCATACATTCTTTTTTGGAGCAAGCAGTGGCATTTGTAATAAAGGTGTTGGGCTTTATGAGATTAAAGTGAGGAAGTCTTTCTGTCCCCTTGGATTGCCATTCCCAGGAAATCAGCAACTGCACATTGCTTCCTGCTGCTACTTGAAGCAGACCTGCTTTTCAGATGCATAATTCAACTCATATTTGCATGTAATTTTTCACCTCTGATTTCTCATAAAGTTGTTTCCAAAATCCTCTGAGCTTTGGTGTGAATAATGGACAGAATTAAAGGGACCCAGCGTGTAGTGTGATGGTGAATTCATAGAATGGAAATCTTTTATTGCAGCTTAGGTTGTGCATTTTACCATGTTAGAGGCTGAGAGTCTTTGCTAAAGTATTGTTTTTATTTGAAAATTGAAGGTTAAAAAAAGCTTTTATCTCACAGCCATAGCTATTCTCAGAGTTTGTATAACATCTCTTAAATTAGTTTTACAAATAGAATTATTACTTATTCTTTATCTCAGTTTTTTGTCCTTACTCCTTTAACTGAGATCTCTCTGCTGCCGCTAGAGGGAATCTGATTTCAGAATACCTACAGAGGACTGTGGTAGGAGAAGAGAAACAGGGACAATCTAAAATGAGATGCTGTCGCCAAAACCGGTTTGGCTCAGTGAATAGAGCGTCATCCTTGGATTGAAAGGTCCCAGGTTCGATTCTGGTCAAGGGCATGTACCTTGGTTGCAGGCACATTCCCAGTAGGGGGTGTGCAGGAGGCAGCTGATCAATGTTTCTAAATCTCTATCCCTCTCTCTCTCTCTCTGTAAAAAATCAATAAAATATATTTTAAAAAATAATTTAAAAAATAAAAAAATAAAATGAGATGCTGTGGAGGGGAAGACTTGTACAAAGTCCACTTAGAAAGTACTGATATTAGCTTTTGTATTTCATTTTGCCAGAGGGCTATTTATTTAGTTACGAAGTGCCAGCACTATGCCAGAAATGTGCCTGGTATTAGGGGTACACTACACTGCATGTATGTCTGTATATATACATACATTCATACATATATATGTAAGTATGAATTCAACCTAGTAAAGGACAGTTTAGCAATAAATCAGTATGTGAGGGTGGCTAATAGTCACTTAGCAAAGAAAAGGGGAAGAATATTCTAAACCAAGGAAATAAGTGTGATCCACCCAGCACTCTGTGTAGAATTGACTTATTGATAGGACTAATATACATACCTGAACTAATATAATGTTGTATGTCAGCTTTAGTTTAAAATAAAATTCAAAAAGACAGTTGGTTCTGTCTTTGGTTCATTTTAAGTTATTAAAAATGCTGGTTGTTTAACCTCTGATAAATTGTATGTTATTCTCTGCATTGAAATTGTTATGCTCTGGTATGAATAACAATTATAAGTAGTAGTATGTAATGGAACTTGTGAGGTAGCACTGGTATTTGAAAAAATTTGTGTTTGCTTTGTTTTTTCTTTTTTCATCACAAATGTAGTGGAGTGGTAGAGGTTTGATTTCTAGGGATTTCTGAGATGTCCTGATTACAATCCATAATCATATTGGCATTGAATGAATGCAAAGGATTCTTCTTAAAAAGGAAAACAATTTTTACTAATGGGTTAAAATTCCAGTTTTCATAATGGATAATAAGATATAACAGGAAATTTAAGTGAGCATTATAATCTCTATATATAAAAGCCTAAGCAACTGCTTGATCACTTGATCACTTGCTATGATGTGCACTGACCACCAGGGGGCAGATGCTCAACACAAGAGCTGTTCCCTGGTGGTCAGTGTGCTTCCAAAATGGGAGCGCTGCTCAGCTGACCAATAGGCGCCAGAAGCCAGGCTCATGGCTAGTGAGTGCCACTGCCGCTGCAGCAGCACGAGCCTCCTGCAGTCACTCCCCCTGCATGCCCCTCCTGCATCCAGACCAGGATTGGGATTGACTGGGTGCAAACTCCCATCTGTTTCTCGGTCATGGACACATGGGTATCACCTTAGGACGGGCACAGGGCACAGATCGCAGTGGAACGGCAGTGAGCCTACCAAGCAGTGGCGGCAGCAGGTGCAGCGGGGCCAGGGTGAGTGGAAGCAGCGCAATGCCAAGCCTAGGCTCGGGCTTTTCCCCGGCCACCTGACCCTTCGCTCACTACTACATCTCTCAGGGGATGTAGGACTGCCGGTGTTAGCCCATCCTCCAGGCCAGCCCGAGGGACCCCACTGGTTCATGAATCTGCACCAGGCTTCTAGTATCTTTATATTTGGCTTTAAATACAAAAAAAAGTTTAGCAGTAGTCAGGCATTCTTTCATTTAATCTGGTGTGGTTTTTATAATGGAAAGAAGAAATAACGTTGTCACTCTTTGATTTACCTGTAATATATCTGAATTGCTTTCATCCTTGATTCTCTGTTGAATGACAGTGTACCGAAAATGCACCCTTTTGGAGTTGACTAAGGGCTCTTTAGCTCATAAAAGATGAAGACATTATTCTATAAAGGAAAATAAGTTTAGAAATTAAATTTATCAAACATCTTTTGAATGTTTACTATTTGGTGGAATCTGCTTATTTGTTCCTGGGAGTGTAAAGATGAAAAAATAGGACTGGAGTCTTCAAGGAACTCTTAATGGGAACCCAGTGTTTGTTTAATGGAGTCTTATTTGGAGTGCTTCACAGTGACTCTCTCCCTTATTTTTGTCATTGCCTTCAAAATACTAGAATTCTCTTTCTCCTCCAGAGCCTCATTAAGAAATTATCTGTAAAGCAACTTGGGAAATAGTTCTGTGCTATTAATGCATTTGCTCTATAACTTCTATAATTTTCATATCCACATTGAAAACATTTGTATAATTTTTAAAGTCGGTGATAAGAGCAAAACTATAATGTGTTTGTATCATTTATCTATTTAAAAATTCTGTTTGCCCATAACCATATTATATAATTTTATCAGTAATTTTATCTAAGATTTTGTTATTCTGAAAATCTAGGTACTCATATCCATTTTTTGGAAGTGCAGCTCCTATTATGACTAATCCTCCTGTTGAAGTTCGGAAAAACATGGAAGTTTTTCTTCCCCAATCTTACTGTACATTTGATTTCGCAACTATGCCTCATCAGCTGCAAGATACCTTCTTAAGGTAATGTATGCACTACACTGTGTGTATGATATTTTCTTCTCAAGTCAGCTCTTAAAATTTTGTATCTTATAAACAAGAGGAATTCCTATAGGTTTAAATCCATAGCAGTTTATGCATTTGAGAATCTAGAAACAAATATACTAATAATAAAGTCTGTGACATTTGTGCTTCTGCCTCAAAGTTTTATCTTACTTGCTTAGATATTAGAACTTTGTTAAAACAATGTAAGTAAAGAAGGAACTTTGAAAAGTAGTTTTGTTTGTTTTTATTGCTGATTCACAGAATGACTGTAGTATATTATTTTATTTCTATTTTTTCATTTATATGAAATGGAGGTATTGGTTCAACTACTTGAAATATAAGGAAAATGAGTTCTGTGAAGTGTCACTTTACGTGCTCAGAGTACCAATATTTAAAATTTATATTTTAAAAGGAAGAATGAAGGATAATTAAAATTTATTTGTGGGACTAGTAGGGTTTGAAGGGTTTCTTTATTGGATAGAAAGAGGTATAGAGGATGTAATAAAATTTTTTGTTTGTTATGTATGGTATTGAGCATTTACATTCCAGTAACAAACACATCTTTGACTACATAAAGGAAATTCAAAGATTTTAGTCCAAAAAAGACTTTGTTCAAAGTTGAAAGGTATGGATACTTGTTTCTCTCTTCCTCAGGATTCCATTGCTGATTGAATTATGGCACAAGGATAAAATGAGTAAAGATTTACTTTTGGGAATCGCTAGAATCCAGCTTTCAAACATCTTATCTTCAGAAAAAACTCGCTTTTTAGGTTCTAATGGTGAACAGTGTTGGCGTCAAACTTACAGTGAAAGTGTGCCTATTATAGCAGCACAAGGGTAATGCATTTTGCAAAATTGAACTTAGCTTTGCTTTTTAATTTTCACTAGCTATAACTATCTTTTCATATCATTTTTTTCTCTGATCTTTCTTGACCTGTGGGAACAATATCCTAGTTTGCTCTTTAACTTTCTGATACCCATTATACCCTCACAAAGTTAAGAATCTATGCTCTTATATACTGTAATATTTACTCAGACTGGTGAATATTTACTTCCCTCTCCTCTGTGTAGACTGACAATTTTAAATTCAATTTTTTAAAAGCTTTATTGTTAAAAGTATTACATATGTCCCCTTTTTTACCCCATTGACTCTTAGCCTGTTCCTCCCTCCACCCCAGGCCTTCACCACCCTGTTGTCTGTGTCCATGGGTTATGCATAAATGCATACAAGTGGGTAATCACTTTCTACCTACCCACCCTTGCCTTTCTTAATTTAATGTAAAAATTACAATGTATTTTTACATTATTTTGTATTGGGAATGGCTTTTTCTACTTAAAAAATATTTTAACTTTTACCTTATTGCTGAAGTCTGAGAATGCTTTGCACTTCTAAAGACAATTGTGGTGGGGATTTTTTTGTTTGTTTGTTTTTCTGGCCCTGAAATTCATTGTCACAGTGAAAAAATGGAGTTCACATATTTCAGACAAATATATTTGTTGCATGATTTAAAAAATTTAATAGAAATTTAAATTCAATTTGATATTTTTATACAACATGCCTTTATTTTTAAAGCATAGTAGGAAAGTAGAAGGAAATCAGGCTCAGTAAAACACTGAAATCTAAAAGTTTTATTGAAATTTCTTCCCTTACACTTCCTCATCAATAGCTACTTCCAGAGAATGAAGGTTTAGTAAAATTTTTATTCACTTGGAAGATCTGGGAACAGGTGTTTTAGAGAACCAGATATTCCAGGTAAATGAAAATTCTTTGTTTCAACTCCTGTTATTGAAAAATCTCTCTTAAAAATTAACACTGTCGTAAGTAGTATATAATGAAAATAATCAAATCCTTACTATTGAAGTTATTTTAATTGTTTGTTGTAAATGTTAACTTTTATTGCCTTGCTCTGTAGACTAAGAAATTTTCAATTTATCCAAGTGAAAACTTCAGATGTGGCAGTGCTTCATTACACTTTTTCTTTTAAAACCTGTGAGATTAGTTGATTAATGAAAGGATCCTTCACAATTAGAACTCTTAAAGTTTTGTTTGATCAAGGGTTTAAAGGATATATTTGATTCAGACAAAGCCATGGGTTTTTTATTGTCAAGGTTTTATTTTTTCTAACACTTTAATTATTACTAATACAGAGAGGTACTCATATCAATAAAAATATAGTTATCCTACTTATAGAAATTAGCCTGAGGCAATGCTCATATCTAGCAGGATATTTTTGTACAAGTGTGTCCATTCCAGGAAAAGTAGAAAAACAACTTAGAATAACCTGTATATAGTTAAGAATAGGGGAATTAAGTTTATTTTACTACATAAATGGTTTAGTACATTTTACAGGCATTAAAAGTTACGTTTTTGAATTAATGTTTATGACATGAGAAAATGTCTTTTCCTATTTATATCAAGATCGACAAAATGGTTATGGTGTAATGTTCATGATTACATATGTATTTACATATACATAAAACGGGAAGGAAAGTAAGTAAATTTCAGCAGTAATAAGTTACGAGCAGGGAGATTAAAATTTCTCCTTTGTTTTGTACTTATTTTGTACTTTTCAATTTTTCCAAGTAATCTATAGCTGTTGTAGGTCCTTTTTTAGTAAACATAGGTATGTATTTAATAGGGTGTTTGTGATCAAATCAAATAAAGTATATATGGAAGGTCTTGAAGCCCATAGAAGCTGCTGCAGTTTCAGTAGCAAATGTCAGATGTAAGAAATGTTGTCTACTCAATGCTATCGTGTTGGAGACATAAGAGGAAGAATAATATAAAATGTTTCTATGAGTTTCAATATATTTCTGAACTTCATTTGTAGGTCAAATAACAGGATAATAAATCTTTCTTACACCACGACTCTAGAAGATTATGGAATATTAAAAACACGTGAAATTTTTGTCTCTGATTCATCTCAGGTAAATATCATTGTATGTTATTAAATTACTCTTTAAAATAGATCTAATGTGTATGTATGTGAGTGTATTTGTTTCAATTTTTTTTTTTTATTCATATGTTAGGGTTTAATTGCTGTACAACAGAACTCATCTTCTCTTCCTCCCGCACCTTGTCCTTCAGAAGTCCAGACAGAGCCTCGTGAAACCTTAGAATACAAAGCAGCACTTGAGCTAGAAATGTGGAAAGAGAGGCAAGAAGACATTTTTGAAAATCAGGTTACCTTTTACAAGTTATTTTAAGCCTCTATTTTTATCTACTTAGTATGTTTTTCCTTTTCAATACTAGGCTTTAACTATGTTCTATGGTCCCTTACCAGTCCCTTTGAATATAAAAAATACCTTATGCCTAAAGAAAACTTGAGAATAAAAAAACACCCAGAAGCCATTCAGAAGGATTCCCTCAACTTTGTCTATGATCTTAAGCAAATCAGAACTGAAGGTTACAGCTCAGAGATTGAAGGTTTCTTTTCATTCTGGTCCTCATTTAGTATCCCCTCCTGGAACATGGAATTATCAGTCTCTAAACAAGAGAGTTAGAAAATCCAGCTTTCCATGTACTCCCCTGAAGTAAACATCAGTGATCATTTAATTTTTAACTGAAAACAACTGATTTATTTACTTGAAATATTTAGGATTTTTTTTCTGACTTTATTTTTCTTCCTTTTGTAGCTAAAGCAGAAAGAACTAGCTCATATGCAAGCTCTTGCAGAGGAATGGAAGAAAAGGGATCGAGAGAGAGAATCACTAGTAAAGAAAAAGGTAGTAAGATGTATAGAAATTGAAGGGGGGAAGGAATGAAAGGGGGAAGGAATAAAGTTAATGATAGTGTCTTGTGTATGTATTTTTGAAATTGTGTGTTTTGAGTTTGGGGAAAAAAGATAAGGTAGCTTTTATTATTTTAGGTGGCTGAATATACTCTTCTGGAAGGAAAACTTCAAAAAACCCTAATTGATTTAGAGAAGAGAGAGCACCAACTGGCCATTACAGAATCAGAGGTACTGTATTTGTCTATCAAATACCTTATTTCACAGAAGCCATGTTAGATTAATATCATTCATTTCTTTTTTAAAAAGATATTTTTATTGATTTTAGAGAAGAGGGGAGAGGGAGAGAGAGAAATATCTATGAGAATCATTAATTAGCTGCCTCCTGCATGTCCCCCCCAACTCATGCATGTACTCTGACTTGCAATCAATCCAATTACCTCTTGGTGCATGGGTCAACCTTCAACCACTGAGCCACATAGACGGGGCTTCATTTCTTTTTTCTTTGTATTTATATAAAATCACATAGAAATTGTCTTCCAGATATTATGGAGAAAACTCTTCAACTGGGTAAAGAATGTTTTATGTTTTAGAAGATGAGGAATAGAAAGTGCTTATTGTTTGAAATGGTTAACTATTATTCAGCCAGTTTGATTGACTTCTGCAATAGTGGAGATATTTGGTTAACTTTCCCATTATCTAAACTTTAAATGGATAGTTATCTTACCTAGAGAAGAGAGAAAAATGTACCATAGATTCAGGGGTCTAGAATCATTTTTTTTTTTTTTTTTTCAGTAAGAAGGAAATAGCCTATATTCTTGCCCATTAGAGATTAGATCCAAAAACAAAAGAGTACTAGGCTTAGTTGACATTTTTGTTAGGTCCTATTAAATTTTACCCTAAATACTTTTTTAAATTATTGTAAAAGTCGTTTCAAAATAATAAAAATTCTTCCACATTATACTCCTTCCCTACCCAAATTTGTTTCTTAAAATTTTCTCAGCATATCACCCTAATCTTATCTTTATCCATAATCTGGGATTTGATTTAGATGTTTAAATCTAAATAAAATAAAATGTATATTTGTTCCTAATACTTAGAACCTGTTATCTTCTGTGTGAATGGGCAGAAAATAAAACATTTCTGAAAGAAGAAAAGGAACTTGGGTGTAATTGCTTACATATTAAAATGGGTTTATTTAAATGGGAATTTTAAGTAATTAGGGCATTTTCAGTTGAATTTATAGAGATCATACATGGATTTTTGTATATTAGAATTAAATGACTGAAAATAATGTAAGTATTCTGAACATTGTCTATATATATGGATGATAGAATATTGAACAGTATAATGTAGCTCATAATAGGCCAACCTCTTAAAGATGCACTTGTTTTAAGCTTCAACGAGAAAAAAGGGAACTGAAATCAGAACGTGAACAGAACCTGCAAGAACTTCAGAACTCTATACGTAGGGCCAAGGAAGATTGTGTTCACCAAGTAGAACTGGAAAGGTTAAAGATCAAGCAGCTGGAAGAGGACAAACACCGACTTCAGCAGCAGGTTGGATGAAATACCTATCATCTCTTTATACTTAAGAGTTTATGTGCATCTAGAAATAATTGATACAGTTCACTAAAATGTTATAAAAACTCACAGTAATTTGGATGATTAATATTTAAGGTGGATCCGCTTCCTAAGTCCAAGCTAAGGACCATATTAGAATAATTTTTCTTCCCTTACAATTATTTGCATGAAATTGTACTATATTTCAGATATTTCTCAGCTTAAAATTATTTTCTGATAAATCTTTTAGAAAACATGCATAAATTTCATAAAACTGGACTGAATTCACTTAAGAATCAAATTCTGTGAGAGAATTGTTTCTGCTCTCCATTTCCTCACCTTATACTCACAATCCATCCCCATTGTTCCAACTAGCCAGTTGTCAAAGAGGTCACTACATTCAGTGGGCATTTTTCATTCTTATCTTACTCAGACTTACTGACAACAACACTGTTGTTCTTGTTTTCCTTTACTTTTCTGTCCATCCCTCGGGCTCCTTTGCAGGCTTATTTTCTTTTAGTAAATGTTAGACCTCCTGCAAGTGCAAAACTTCCTTAGTATTATACAATCTTATTAATGTCCATGGGGACGGAGACAATCTGTACCTCTTGGACTTTCACATTTATATCCCAGACTTTTCCTTTGCACTTAGATCAATAAATCTAATTGCTTTTTTGATATCTCTAATTGGATGTCTAAAATCATTTAAAACCCAATATGATCCTCCCATCCATGCTTGAGTTTTCTGTAAAGTCAGGCATTTCAAACTTGTGGGACATGCTTGCAATAAGTGTTCTTTCTGTTCTTCCTGTTGCAATCAGTGATATTTTTAACAATTGGGAATTATGAACCCTCCTTAAAACTTTTCAATGCCACCTCATTGCTCAGAATAATTACCTTGCCCTACAAGCCTCTGAATCGCCTGGAACCAGCCTTTCTCTCTCACTTTTGCCCTGTTCTCTCCAGCCTCACTGGTCTCCATTCAGGTGCTCAAACATGCTGAGTTCACCATAGGATATTTGTGTGTGCTACTTATTCTACACTCATCCTTCAGTTTTCAGCTGAAGCATCAATTACTCGGGGAGCAGGGACAATTTCCCTAAGTTTTTGTTATATATAATTTCATAGGATATTATTCTCTCATTCTTTTTCTTTATGACATGTTAGAGCAGTTTTGTTCTTTTCATTAGTGTGATGTCAATCAGTGTCAGATTGTTAACTCCATAAAACTGTTCCGATTTGTAATCTGTATATCTAGAGCCCAATTAGTCTTTATCAAATAATTAGGGCTTAAAAATATTTGCTTAAAAAAAAAAGAGAGAGAGAATCAAGCTGTTAAATATTAAGCTTATCTTTCTGGAAAATTTCATTGTAGATTACGTATGTATGATGAATGCCTCCAAAGTTTTCAGTAAATTCTGACATGAAAAATAGCTTCTAAAGGAGTTCAGGTCACATTATTTAGTGGCTGTAAATATGAATATGATTGTTATTATGGAGATCTCATTTAAGATAAAATTGTAAAAGTAAGCAATGGTGATAGGATTCACCAAATGCTTTTCCCACTTGTCAGGAAGATTCAGCCATCTGGAACCAATGCTCCTAACGTGTTAATCACCAGAGGAGTTCTTGAAAAAAAATCCCGGTCTCCACCTTGCCCCAGACTGCTATAATGAGCTTATGGGAAGAACTGGTATTTTAGAATTACCCAGGGAACTCTTAAATATTATCTAAAGATCTGGGGGGGGGGAGGACTTCAGAAATTTCTGAGATGCCCAGGTTGCTGAGCTCATGACTATAAACATTATATTTTCTTTGTATGGAAACAAACTTCTTAGGCCCTTACTCTTGAAGCAGCTTACATATATTATATGTATAATTCTAACTAGACTGATAGAAAGGATTGATAGTAGTTACCAGAACTCAAAAAAAATCAATGTAGTTTATGGACCATTTAGCAAAGGAAAAAAAGCCCACTATGCCTAATAGCTTATTGCTTTACAATCTGATTGTAAGTGTAATAATTGTGTATGATAATGTCCCTGAATGGTAGGAAAAAATATTACTATGAAGGGATTGGGTCAAATAATCTTTAAATTACCTTAAATTGTAATAGAGTTTGAATTATGAAATTCATATAGTATCTAAGTTTAAGAACAATAAATACTGTATTTAAATTAAACTTTTCATTGATAATTGGCTATATCTAATCTTTTCTTACATGTAACATCTTAAGTGTCAGTATTTTTATAAAGTAATTTAACAAAAATGGTCTCATGATACTGGTTTTAAAAGAAATTCTGTACTCTTAAGAAGTTTTTGTATATTGTCAGTAAGTTGATTTACTAAATTTTTAGGATTACTAGAGATCTTTGTACTGTAAACATGTTTAGAATAAGAAAAAATGGGATTGTTGAATTCTGTAATATTTAACTTGACATATTTTTTTTAAATGGCTGTAATACTTTTTTTAAATACAGCTTAATGATGCTGAAAATAAGTATAAGATTTTGGAAAAAGAGTTCCAGCAGTTCAAGGATCAGCAAAGCAACAAACCAGAAATCCGCCTACAGTCTGAAATAAGCCTTCTCACCTTGGAAAAGGTACCCATGTCAATTTATACCCACTTAACTAGTTCTAATGATCAACTTATGAAGTCAGTGATGACACTTACATATACACTGTAACATTTCACTGAAGTATTCTGATGTTTCCCTGGTTCTAGTGTCTTTCATTAAAAATATAACCAGATGCCCATATTAAATGGTCTAGAGTGATTTCTTGGCAGGATGCTGATTGATACAATTGATTTTTCATTAACCAGCAAAGATGTGTGCTATTTATGACATCATGCTATTAAGAATGATTCAAAAATGTTCAGAATAGAGTCAAGTAAGTTACAAAAGGAAACAAGGAACTTACTCAAATAATTATAGTGAAAGGCAAATGGTATCAAGTGTCATCTCACTTTCTCTTAATAAATGCTATGACTCCAAAAGGAAAAACCAAGTCAATCCTGCAATTTAGACATTAAGTAAATGAAAAGGAACCCAAAGGATAGGTGAAATTTTAAATAGGTAAATATGTGGGTGAGGTTATTCCAAGGAGAGGTATTGTACTGAGGTTAAAAAGTCTGTTGCATACTTGGAAAATAGCTTGACTAGAATCTAGAGTTTAACCAGTATAGTAGTGGTTTAGTAGGGGTTTCAAAATAAAAACAAGACTAATAAGAAAATTCGGGAAGACCCTAGATGCTAAGTTAAAGAATTTGTATTTTATCTGTAAATAAAAGTCAGAGATTATGTGCAATTTGTAAATTAGTTTAATAAATATTAATAGAAATGAATTTTAATGAACTTTTGGTAGAAGTTATAGAGAATTCTGATTATAGACATACTACGTTTGAGATGTTAGCAGACTAAGTGGAGAAATTCACTAAAAATGAGAAAATATGGTAGGAAGAGAGAAATGGGTTAGATATACAGACTTGGGAGTCATTTGAATAAAATAATATTCTTAGAATTAGATGAAATTGTTCAAGGAGCATTTAGTAAGGAAAACTGAAAATATAAATTAAAAGGAAAGTTCAGCTTCATAGACAAAAAGCAGGAGTCAGGGAAGAAGGCTAACATGATTTAGAGAAGTAATAAATGCAGTCTAGTGTGGCACCCAAAAAAGGAGTTTTTAAAATGAGGAAGTAAAAGAAATCTCTAATGAATGGAAGGAAAGTCAAGAATGGTTGAGGAAAGATCATGGGTTTGACAGTTTAAGTCACTACCTTTTAATAAGCCAAATTACAGAGTGGTAATGTGGCATTGAAAAAATTGCCAATGTTGAGAAAAGCTTATGGATAAGAAATTAATAAGGAGAAACTGATGGTTGCTAGTCTTTGAAAAAAAGAAATACCAAGAGTCAAATGTCTAGAAAATGTGGAGCTAGGAATAAGTGTGGTAAAGAAAATCTTTTGTAGTGTTGTAACTGGTTTCTTATAGTGGTTTTGCAGCCTGTCAATTGATTTGTTCTTCTTGGTTCCTCTTCTTACCCCACATCTACTTAATTGCAAAGTCTTGTTGGTCCTGCTTTTTACATAGGTAGGCAATTTCATTTCTCCATTTTTGGCCTTCTCATTTCTCTATCAATGAACTTAAACCCAGTTAGCCATTTCCCACCCCTATTATGAAAAATCAAGTATTTCCGTGTTTATAAATATGAATTTGTGGTACTTACCAGAGATATTTGAAGCATTCAAATAGTATCTCATCAATTCTCTCGAGCTGTTAAGTAGATGTCAAAGAATATTTCCATTTTAGAGACCAAATATCTCAAAATTGGAGAACTGTTAACTTTTTATCTTTTATGAATATAGACTAGATAATATCTACTATATAAATTTAAGTGATTTTTAAAATTCCTTCTTCCAACTACATTTCTACCAAAAAAGTAAAGGTCAGTAAATATTAAAAATATAAGCAGCACCATGAATTTGAGAGAGAGAGAGAGAAAAATGCATAATAAATCATTAAATCCAAGACCTTATGATTTCATTCAGCATGTTTCATTGCCTAGTAAAACAAGGTTGCTCCCTGGCCCCACCTCTCCGCTGTTCTTAAAGTTCTTTGTAAATTTGTTGGGAGCCAGAAGAGGGCAGAATCTTATTTCTTAAATAGTAACAAAGACATAAAAGTACAAAAAGGAAGACAGTGAAAAGTATCTGATTAAGTCTATAATCTTGTGATTATCCATTTTCTTCAGTATAACACAGATTTTCCCATTTTGACTGGAATGGCCTAAAAATAAATTAAGGTACATTTTTACTACATTCAATTCTTGATTCCATTTATTATGTAAGAAGTGGATATTATTTGCTTTTAGCTAGGAAATATCTTTTAGATTGCTTAAAAATAATTGGGACTTTTAAAAATAGCATATGGAAAGCATTATAATTCAGTAGGAGGTATATAAGTTGAAGGTAAAATTTAAAAATATTTGAGTATCTACTGTGTATTTACCCCTTAGGACAAAGGGGAAAATGAGAGAAAAGAAAAAAGCTTGTAATAAAATTGGAGAAAATTGGAGAAATGGCTCAGAGGGCCTTAAACAAACGTGTATAATAAAGTACCAGAGAATGTAATAGAAACGTTTTTCTGTTCAGAATACAGTAATTTTAAGAAAGCTCTGGGTCAAGGTAGTATTTGAACTTAACCTGAAGTTTAAGTTAGCAGAGAAGAAAAATAAAGACTTGTTAGGCTGAGGAGGTAATTTGGGCAAAAAGAAGGGGTGTGTAGGGAACCCCAACCTGGTGGTTGGAGTAAAGGATTTCCTGTTGAGGAATACCAAGAAAGTAGGTTGAGCAAGTAGTATGGAAATGCTATTTTGGAGTGCCTTGTAACCTAGCAGAAGAGTTTAGGCTCAATATTGTGGGCAAGAAGTAGCTATTGTAGATTATTTAGTAGAGAGTGAATTGATCTAATAGTGGTTTGCAAGATTTGTGAATAGATTTGAGGCCGAGGAGACAAGAGAAGAGCCTGAGCTAAGGAAATGCAGTAGGAATATAAAAGAATAAAGCTGGAAATATTTTAAGGGAGAAATCTATATGACATATCAGTACAAATGCTTCCCCAAGCCTCAAATTTACTCTTAATAAGGGCCCTTAACTTGTGTGCATTTTTCTGGGACTTGGGTCCATCTATTTAGAATTACAGAAGCATCTGTTTTCTTAAAAAGTTCCTAATCATTGATTTGGTATAGAAATAAATCAGAAAGTGAGGTTTGTCTCAGATTTGCTATCTATAGTCTTTTTGATAAGAATAAAGAAATTATATGTATTGACTATACATGTGTCTTAAATTAGTTTGAATAACTATGCAAATGTGAATTATTTTGATAATCATGGCAAAACCAGTGTAACCGCCGAGGCCGGTTTGGCTCAATGGATAGAGTGTCGGCTTGGGGACTGAAAGGTCCCGGGTTCGATTCCGGTCAAGGGCATGTACCTTGGTTGCTGGCATATCCCCAGTAGGGGGTGTGCAGGAGGCAGCTGATCGATGACTCTGTCTCATCGATGTTTCTAACTCTCTATCTCTCTCCCTTCCTCTCTGTACAAAAATCAATAAAATATATTAAAAAAAAACAACAACAAAAACAGTGTAACCTACCAGACAGCTTTTTCTGATGAAGTCAGTCATAAGTAATCCCTCTAGTTCATCCCTGTCCTAACTCTTAGCCTTGGGCCCACCTAAGACCTATGGACATGATCACTTTTTAAAAAATATATTTTATTGATTTTTTACAGAGAAGAGAGAGGGATAGAGAGTTAGAAAATATCGCTGAGAGAGAATCATTGATCAGCTGCCTCTTGCACACCACCTACTGGGGATGTGCCCACAACCAAGATACATGGCCTTGAACGGAATCGAACCTGGGACCTTTCAATCTACAGACCAACCTCTATCCACTTAGCCAAACCGGTCTCGGCAACATGATCATTTTTATTGCTGAAGGCTACTTTTTTACCTCACAGCTATAAAATGATTTTTTCTATTCCTGTGACATATGTCCTTGTTAAATTACCAACTAATATGTATAAATCTTTAGGTGTAAGTGGAAGAGATCATCTTTGACAATCTAGTGTATTATTCAATTTAAGAGGCATGAGTCTAGTTGTGAAATGTCAACACATTTAAACCCAGGCACTAGGGATTTGTAAAGCAGAAAAGACCTTGACTCCATTAAGTCGTATATTACTGCAGAGAATGTTCTGGGCTCTTGTGAAGGGAATTTGGCAATCTGCTCTTCCTTTCATTTTGTTTTCATGAGTTTTTTGAAGTTTGAATTTTTGGATAGTGTCTTCAGTTTTATTTTTCTGCAAAACATTAGGAATTGTATGGGAAAAAGTCAACTTCATATAAAAAAAATTAGAGCAGTTTAGAATAACAGTACTTTACTCTAATTCAGGCCCATTATTACATTATCACTTAACTAGTAAAACTGTCTGTTGGCTACATCAATTTGTTTGGTACTTGGGTTGAAACACTGAGAGAGGACATTCCAAAACATAGCCAAGTTGGCTTCAGTTCATGCACAACAGATTGCCTGCTGCAAGTATAAATAACCTTATTTTTTTAATTGAATCACTTTCATGTTTTTCTTTATATAGTTGAGGAAAAATAGAAAATAAATGTTAGATAAGTGTTACTAGGAGTATTATTTGTCTTTCATTTGGTTTATTTCATCATTCTTAAAATATTTTTTCACATTGTCCTCTTCCTTAGTAAACTGCATTCTATCTATGATTTTTTCCAAAATATAGTTATAAAAGAATCCAATACTTTTTTGTTATAAGACAAAATTCCACATAGTGAAAGGCCTCCAAAAGGAATACTTTGTTTTCTAAGATTTAGAGTACCAAGTAAATTGAAAAGTTAACAGAACTGCTTTATGTTTAAAAAAAAAAAAAAAAAAAAAAAGGTATTTTTCATTCTATCTTTATGCAATATACTTGTTTTAAATACATTTATAGTAACTGTCTGGAGGTTAAGACTAATTCAGTTCCTTTTAGTATAGGCTGTTAGGCAGTAAAAATACGACTATATTTTAAACAAGAAAATGTTCATGTGCCATAATATTTATAGTAAATTATATAACAGTTTTAGATGATGTCGTATGTTACACTACATAAACTCTTTTCTTAAGCCAGACTCTTTGTATATATTATCTTTCAGTGATTGTACACAGTGGTATAGTGTTTCACTTGATATGATTTTAATCACTGTTAGGTTGAACTTGAAAGAAAGTTGGAATCTGCAACTAAATCTAAACTGCATTACAAGCAGCAATGGGGACGAGCTTTGAAAGAGCTTGCCAGACTTAAACAGGTATGTAGTTTATAACTAATGATGGATTATTCTTTTTATGTCCTTTTCCCTTGATTCTTTACAAGTTTGCATATTTGGCAATACCTGTTATATCAGATAAATGTCTGCATTTGAATCTCCAGTGCTATTTTTGAGATTGGGGCTTTTTGTGTGTGTGTTATATATAAGATCTTACTTTTTTTAAATTAAAAATTGAAACTTTTGGGCTTATTTTCTTTAATTGCCAGTTATTCTCTTTCTCAGAAGAAATTGGATAATTGATTTTACTTACACAACTACCATTCTTCAGTATTAATTTCTTTCTATTGCGAGTACGTTTGAGGGGAGAAATTTCAGGGTAACTTAAATTGAGCCTGTTCTCAAATTTAAGAACATATTGTAAATGTTATTCCTAGGAAGACAGAGGTAACTTATTCAATTAAGGAAGGAATCACAGGGAATATTTGCATAACTTTATGAGTTTAAAAGTGATAGTTTTCCTGAATTCTTAACTGAATTTTTACATTTTCCCCCCTCCTGTTGTTAGATAGCATATGCTATTAGCTTCATGAGAAATATATCTTAATTTTAGGTATAATTTCTTCAAATGATTAAGATAAATTATTAGCAAGATTTTTTAAGATCTACTTTGACCTAAAACTCATAAGCTAACCATTATTGATCCTTATAAATTTTGCTTTTCTTTAGTGTCAGTTTCATTATAAATGAAATTTGATAAAGAAGGTCTTTCAGATTTATGTTTCCATAAACATCAAATGCTATTAAATATCTTTATAATATTGTACTAAGTGCTTACTACCTTCTTCTCATGTACTAAACTGCATAAGAATAAATAAAATTATGCTAACATAGCTTGTAGGTGAGCTGTGATTATAAGTATAAATATTAGTCTTCCCTTAATCCTGGGGTTACATTCCAAGACCCCTAGTGGGTGCCTGAATTCACAGAGAGCACTGAGCCCTATATACAGGGCTGGGCAAAAATAGGTTTATAGTTGTTAATTACTATATTATTTTCCATATTAATACAAGAATAAGCTTTCTGTTTTGCATATTCACAACTGTAAACCTATTTTGCCCACCCCTGTATATTATTTTTTCCCCTATACCTACATACCTATGATAAAGTTTAATTTATAAATTAGGCATAGTAAGCGATTAACAGCAATAACTAATAAAATAAAACACTTATAACAGTATACTGTAATAAAAGTTATGTGAATGTGGTCCCTCTCAAAATATCTTATTGTATTCTATTCACTTTGTGGTGATGTGAGAAGGTACAGTGCCTATGTGATAAGAGGCAGTGAGGTGAATGAATAGGTACTATGCTATAGTATTAGGATTACTTGAACACAAGACTGTAATACCACAACTGTTGACCTGATAATTGACTAGTGAGTGGGCATTATATACAATGTGATATGCTAGACAAAGGGATGATTCACATTCTCGGTGAGGTAGAGTTAGGACAGATGTGATTTCATCACACTACTCAGAATGGTGGGCAGTGTAAAATGTATGAATTGTGGTGTGTGTTTTTTCTGGAATTTTCCATTGAATGTTTTTCGACCCTAACCATGAATAACTAAAACCATTGAAAACAAAACTGCAGAGAAGGGAGGGACTACTATATTAACAATAGTTAATTTTTATATGTTCACAAGACTGAGGATAGATGAGTGAATAATATTTTGTACTGAAAGTCTCCTATATTCAAGGTACTGCCCTAGATTTATAAACATAAATAAAACAAAAGTCTTTCCCTCGGGGAAGTTAAAATTTAGTGATAGAGAGGAAAACTATAAATATAACATTTGCTGCCTAATATTAAGAGCCCTAAAAAAAGCCATAGAGAGTACATCTATTTAATGGGACTTAGAAAAGGTGTCATAGAAGATAATGTATTTGAGATGGCCTCTAGGGAACTGGTTGTGATTTAGGAACGTAGCAGGTTGGAGATGGGGGTGTTACAAATACAATGGCTAGAATGATTATAACAGACACGAATTCAGGATGCTAGACTCTACTTGGAGATCAGAGGAGGGCTATTTTAGAGGTCATTTCAGGAAGTAAGGACTGGAACTTAAGTGGTAGCAGTGGGGAAAGGATGAGAGATTCTTTTAAAAGATATGTTTTGGTAGATTTTGTGTAGCACAATATACCTACCTGATTGGGCTGCAGAGTATCGCAAATGTGGTTATTAAGACAAAGAATTGATGGTGGGGTAAGACTTGCAAGTCTGGAGATTTTAATTTTTACAGAAAAATTCAGCAAACAGAATTGTGAATCTGATGTTGGGAGGGTGATTGGGCTTAAAAACAAATGAAAGAATCCTTTACAAAGGTGATTGATTTGACTGATGGCATTTAGACTTCTTATGTTTAAGAAGGGTAAACTGGCAAAGGAAATAACTAGAGAAAAAGAGGAGGATAATTACAATGATACTGATAGAGCTGTTAATATTAAATTTAGTCTCATTATATACTAGGTGTTGTGCTTCATGTCTTTTCATTTCATCGTAATCAAGATCCCTATGTAGTAAATAATATTATTATTCCCATGTTATACATGAAAGAAACTGAGACTTAGAGAAGTTAGTTGCACACAGCCATACAGATTCTGAGTGATAGAGTTTAGGATTGGAACCATTTGACCAGAGTCCAGGCTTGAGTTTTTTCCCCTTTATAATATTATGGCTTCATTCCATAGAAGCCAAATAATGAACAAACTCCCGGGAGAAGAAAGTGACACGTTTCAATTATTAAATAATTATTGAAAGAGTAATTTCATCAGAGTGTCATGTTTCTTATTAAGAAATATCCATGCAAGACCTTTTTACTTTGAGTAAGCTGATTAAGTTATGTTCATAAGTGTATATTGACAAATGGCATTGTTTTCACTGAGGTAGTTTTTAAAAAAAAAGTAAACAAATAATACTCTGAATAAAATCCTTCAAGTTCATGGCTTTTTGTTAGTGTTACACTGAGTCTCCTTTAAAAGTAGATTAAGAATAAAATGTGTCCCTATATATTATATTATATATATTATAATTAACCCTCCTTACTAACATGCATCCTGATATATTTACAATCTTCATCATTTCCTATTTACTCTATTTTCTGCCCTCTTGCCTAAAAACCATTGACAAAGTAATTTAGCTATTTTTTTTTTCTAATAATAGGATCACAAAATTTCAGATGCCTCCTTTCTCTTGAGTTATTGTAAGAAGTATTAAGAAGAAAACAATGTTAAATTAGTGGTTCAACTCTAAACTTGTACTTCATGAAAACAAATAGTCTCATGAGTGCAGTGAACTTTATTACAGACCAATTCTATTCCTTGTCCCACAAACTTTCTACTGTAGAAACAACTCTGTAAACAGATTTCAGCTTCACTGGGAATCATTGATGTTCTACAGACCACATTTGAGAAGTAATACTTGAAGAAAAAATGTAATAGACCTTGAGATTACCATAGTGAATTGTGCTCTGCCACAAACTGTTTTTGGAAGGTTAAAATTAATAACTTTACCAAATAGGCAAATTCATATATGTGAAAATTACTTAAATTTTTTTCTAAAATGTTTTATTAAAAACATTATAGTGTTTGAATGTAAAATTGAATTCTCTGCTTTTGTTCAGAGACTTGTTTGTGCAACTTTTTGTTTAAATTGGATTAGTACCATGTTAATTTTACATTGCCTCTGGTGAGTAGCCACGGGACTATAATCTCTGCCAGTAATTTGTCACAGTGAAATCCTCTGGAGGGCCATACAAAACATTTGTGTAGAACAGATTAGACAGCAAAAGCCATATCTTATATTGTTAATAAATGTTAATGACAAAACCCAGCTGGTAAAGCTTGGAAATAAGATCTAATGCTTAGTGCATATTGCCAGAAAAATGTTTAAACAGAGATTTCCATTACTCAAAAGTGATCTAGTGTAGTCAGTATGTGAATTAAAAAGTCATAATCTATTTAGAAAAAAAATATATTTTCTTCAGATTCACAATTTTAAAGTCTGTTTCCAAGTTGTAAATTTTTTTTTTAAAGTAAATATGGAAGTGACAGCTGTAGAATATAAGTAAATGTCACATAAAATGGTTCATAACTTAGAAAACAAGAAAGTGATATCCATACATTCTGGATTTGATACCTCTGATATATTGTGTAATACTGACTTTTGTGAGATATTTAAGGGGTAACTTCATTTTCTTTTTTCTGCCACCTTCATGAAGATATAGTACAGAAATATTTTTAAACCAAAACAAATACTTAAATTGTACTAAACATATTCAAATTGTACTAAACATATTCAAATTAAGATTAACTCTTTACTCCTTGGGTACAGGACTAAGAACTAAGATATTGGGTAGGATGTGCGTCCCTTACCATATTTGTGCACAGTAGATCTGTTTAAAACTAAGCTGATATATTTAGTTAAAACAACACAGACTTCATTGGCTGACATCAGCACTATCTTGTCCAGCCTCCTGCTTATCCACTCAGAGTAATTAATTTGATTAATTTATAAGTAATTTAGCCAAGGATAGGATGTAAATCTTTGTTTAAGAAAACAGTTGGAGGTCCAAGTCTTGGTTAAAAACTGTGTCTTGAAACCATCCAGGCCCTCCTCCTGACTTGTCAGCTCTGGGTTATTTTCAGAAAACTTTACTTGAGTTCCTTAGTTTAGTTGGAAGCTTTTTTCCCACAGACTTACATGGTATGTGTGAGTGGGAGAGTATGTAGTGGCCACTTTTTAGCCGCTGTTTAGTCTAGTGTATGTATGTTTACATCTCCTTTCTGGATTTATAGGCAGCCAAGGCAAAATAAAGATTATACTCACTTGATTGAGGAGCCTTTAACCCAGAGCACCTGGCAGCAGAGAGGATTTCTTTCACTAACCTCTAATTTTTGTGTGCATGTGTGATTATTTTAAATGCTGGATCTTTGATTTAAAATTCAAGGTTTTTCTTACGTTTTAGAATTAAAATGTTTCAAGGTTTATAAAGCTAAAATTTTAGAAAAAAGGAACCTAAACATAATCAACTTTTTATTATTTTTTTCTGCTTGGAAATTTGACAGCACCATATAACATAGAAAATATAAATCACCAGTAACCTTAACCCCTCCTCAGCCAGATATAACAATTTGGTGTACTTTTCCTAATGAAATAAATTGTACATTCCAAAAATGAACAAAAGATTCTTATACAACGCCCACCTCCTAGGTTAAGAAACAGAGCATTATCAATGCTTTGGAAACTTGTGTACCTTTCTCAACTGCATCCTTTCCTAAGGTAGTTACTTTTCTGAATTTGGTATTTATTACTCCTTTGGGTAGGATACAGGTCCCTTACCATATTTTCTTTATAATTTTATAAGATATATTTAATAAGATATATTTAAAGTATTGGTAAATAGCACTATTCACTTTTGTATATTTTTATGTTTTATATCCATGAGATCATTTTCCTGGGACCACCAAGATTCAGAATTGTTTGTGATTTAGCTCTTTTGATGCAAGTAACTATAGTTAATTTATTGCTTTATAAAACTTGAACGTATGAATATACCACAATTTATTTATTCAGTCTTCTCTCAGACATATTTTTCCCAAGTTTTATTTTAATAAAACAACACAAAAATTTTGGACATGTAGAAACATGTAGGAATTTCTGTAGTGTTTATATCTAAAAGTAGAATTTTTGTTAGTAGGGTTTGCTCATCTCAACTCCTACTCTAAATATTGTCAAATTACTTCCTAAAGTAGTTGTGTAAATCTGCAGTTCCCAAGAGTGGTATATAATTGTTATTCTTCACACCATGTCCAATTGTTGTTTAGATGTATTAGTTTTTTCCAGTTTGGTGAGTGTGACAATAGTATGTTGTGGCTTAAATTTTCATTTTCCTGACTTTGAGCATCTTTTCATATGATTATTAACCACTTACATGTCCTTATTGTGGAGTGCTTTTTTATGGCTTTTGCTCAAAAGAAATCAATCAATAGGTAATCTGGATTTTGGCATCACCAGATACAAAGTTTGAAATAAACCTTACTATCACTATGTTCTAGAACGTAGATGACAGAAAAATGTATTAATGAAATGGAATCTTTTGAATCGTGTAGAAATTCTGGAATTGAAAAGTATTGTGAGTGAGATGTAAAAATTCAGTAGATGGATTAAGAGCAGATTGGGCATAGTAGAAGCAAGGATGTGCAAACTGAAGCAGAAATGAGAAAAAAAAAAAAGGAAAATACAGCAAAAAACATATGAGATAGAGTATATGAGACTGACTACCTTTTGTGTAACTATAGACTCTTGACTTAGTCCACGTGGGCTGCTATAACAAAATACCACAGACTCCATAGCTTATGAACAAAAATTTGTTTCTTACTCTTCTGAAGGCTGAAACTCCTAGATCAGGTACACACCTTATCATATTCTATGTCTGGTGAGGGTCTGCTTCCCAGTTCCATTTATGTGTCTTCATCTTTCTACTGTCTTCATATGGCAAAAGGAGCTAGGAAGCTTTCTCAGACCTATTTTATAAGGACAATAATCTCATTCATAAAGGCTTGCCTTCATGACCTAAGCTCTTTCCAAAGGTCCCATCCCTTGACAACATAATATTGGGAATTAGGTTTCAACATAAGAATTTTGGGAAGATGCAAATATTCAGCCTATAGCACCATTTAGGAGAAAATAGAAAATGTGGAGGGATGCAATATTTGAAGAGATACTGGCTGAGAAGTCTATAAAAGTTAAAAAGATATCAAGTTTTAAGACTATCAATCAGTTCTCAGCAGGAGAGTTCAAAGTGAGTCATATCTTATATGCATCACAGTAAGGTTGTCAAAAAGCTAAGAAAATCTTAAAAAGCTATGGGGATGGAGGCAGACATTACCTTCATAGGAGCAGCAATAAGACTGTCAGAAGACTTTTCAACAAAAGTGAAGGAATTCATAAGATTGTCAAAAACAGCCATAAGTACTGAAAGAAAATAACTACCAACCTAAAATTTTGTATCCAGTGAAAATGTTTTTTATAATGAAATAGACATGAGACTTAATGAAAGCTGTACTTAGGGGACATTTATAACCTCAAGTTCACTTAGAAAATAAGAAAAGCATAAAGTTTTCTCTAAATATCCCTTTCAAACAGTCAGTGAAGGAAATTAGAAGATAGAAAATAATCAATACAAATAGAACTTAATGAAATAGGAGCAAAATGTACAACAAAATAAAGCCAAAAGTTGTGTTTTTGTTTTTGTTTTTGAAAGGAACTTCCCCCTTGGCAAAAAGTGTTCAAGGACAAAAAGAGACTAATTACTAGGTCCTAATACCAGGAATAAAAAAGGGGGACTGGGCTACACATTCTTCAGACATTTAAAGAGGTAAGAGGATGGTCCAAAAATTTGTATGTCAATTTGAAAAAACAGAACTTACAAAATTGACACAAAAAGAAACAGAAAATATAAAGTTTTTCCTTGAGATCAGGAATTAGAGAAAAATGCCCTCTATCACCATTTCTTAGCAACACTGTACTAGAGGTTCTAGCCAGTGTAATAAGGCAAGAGAAAGAAAAGGTGCATCAGCTGCAAAGGAAAAAGTGAAACTGCCACTATTTGCAGATAACATTGTTATATACTCAGAAAAACAAATGTCTACATAGGATGTACTAGAATTAATGAATTTAGTAAGTTTGTCGGAAACAAGGTCCATATGAAAAGAACAATTTCAGTTCTCTATACTAGACACAATTAGAGAAGAAAAATTTTTTTAAATCTTCCATAGCATCTTAAAACACAAATATTTGTGTTAAATTAGTTTACGGAAAAGGATAAAGTATTAAACAAATTAAAGAAGACATAAATAAAGGGAGAGGTAATAAACCATTTTCACTGATTAAAGAATCAATGGTTTTGGCCAAATTGATCTGTAGATGTAGCATAATCAAATCCCAGCAGGACCTTTTTTTTCAGCCCTAGAAACATATTTATATGAACATGCAGAAGTCAAGAATAACTAAGAATTTTGAAGAATAGCCAAAGAGAGAAGACTTTTTCAGATATCACGATTTATTATTATATGAGTTATAGTAACAGACAGTGTACTTTTAATTCAAGGATAGAGAAATAAATCAGGTTACAGGGCCCAGAAACAAACCTATACATTTAATGGACAGAGGTGACATATGGCAGGTGATATTGCCAAGCAAGAGGTGTCTTTTAGTAAATATTACTAGGTCAATTTGAGCTCTATATGGGAAAAAGAAGAATCTTCATCTTATGCCACACACAAAACTAATTGGATATGAATTACTGATCTAAATGAAGCCTTAAAAGGGTAAAATAAAGACTGAGGCAGGCAAAAACTTGGTCATAAAGGCACTATCCAAAAAATAAAAAATAAAAAAATAGATAAATTTGGGCTATATTAAAATTAAGTAAAAAATACCATTATAGCACTGAAAAGGCAAGACAAAGACTAGTGGAAAATACCTAGAATTCAAATAAGTAACAAATGACTTATCTAGTATACAGGGTGGGACAAAAGTAGGTTTACAGTTGTAAGTATGGGACATAAGAGTTTATTCTTATATCATTTATTATTGTACTATTTTCCATTCAAACAACCTATTTTCCCACCACCCTGTGTATAAAGAACTACAGACATATTAAGATGGATAGCAAAGTAGAGCAAAGTGCCAAATGGTTGACCAGGAACTTTATAAAAGAAGATGCCATTAAATGCCAAAGGCCATATGCCATTAAAAATATTAGAACATGTTCAACCTCAGTTGTCATTGAAAAAATGTAAAATAAGATCACAATGAGATAAATTTAAAAACAATGTTAAGTGAAAGAAGCCAGTCATAAAAATAGTCATACTGTCCAATTCTGTTTATGTAAGTTCAAAGCAGTCAAAATTTGTGGTGTTAGAAAATAGTATAATGGTTATCTTTGGGAAACGATGGAAACGAGGATATCTAAGATTCTTATAATTTTTTGTTTCTTACCTGGATGATGGTTGAGTTGTTCATTTTAATCAACAAATGTTTATTTTGACATATACCTATTGGCCTACCGCTCCCATTTTGGGGTTGTGTCCTAAAGAAAGAAAAGCACCCATCCCTAAAAAAATACATAGAAATATTTGTGATACTATCGATAGATGATAGGGTGTTTTATTGTAGTATTGCTTATTGTAACTAAAAGTCTCTATTATTGAGAAGAGTGGTTGAAAAAATCATGGAGTATTCATTCTGTGGAAAGTTACACATGTATTTTAAAGAAATTGTGTCAAATGCATAGGTTTTTGTATGAGCCTGGAGAAAAGTGGGAAAAGAAATATTGTTACCTAAGAGAGGAGTGGAATTAGTGACCGTTACTGAATTTTTCTTGGTACATCTTTGTATAATTAACCATTTCTTAGATGCTGCTCTTGCCACTGATCCTTGTAGCAATTTATTGTGTTGTCAGCAGGCTCTTTCTTGTCTTTAACTTCTTTTATCTTATGCTATTCAGCTAACTTCATTGATTGGGCCTGTAAAGATTATGGCTTATAACAGAAAAGTAATGGAAAGAGGTGTTTAAAAAAAAACAAAACAAAAAAAAACGCACAAAAAACCCCCACACAAAACTGGTCATTTCTGGATTTTATGTATGTCATAGAATTAGCAGTGTGTGTCCATATCATGGGTACCGTCAAATAGGATTATAATCACAAGTTAAGGTCATATGAAGTATATTCCTAATATTTGTGATCTGGATTGTTTCTTTCTTTCCAGCGGGAGCAAGAAAGTCAAATGGCTCGTCTTAAAAAACAGCAAGAAGAATTGGAACAGATGAGACTACGTTACTTGGCTTCTGAGGAGAAAGATACAGTAAAAACTGAGCGACAAGAATTGTTGGATATAAGAAATGAATTAAACAGGTATAGTAACTAGAACATTACATTGCTTTTTCAGACAAAAGGAAAGTTCTAATAGGACAGCCTTTTAATTGGTCATTGGTCCAGGGAAATTATGTCAGGTTTTTCAATAAAGTAGGTCATCTATAATAAAAGCGTAATATGCTAATTAGACTGGACATCCTTCTGGACAAAGTTGGGGCTACCAGGGAAGCCTGGGTCCTGGGTCCAGAGGGAAGCCCGTGCCGGCAGCTGGGGGAAGGAAGGCCTGCTCTTGCATGAGTTTTGTGCAGTGGGCCTCTAGTGTACTCTAAAATGGAGGTGATTTGTACAATAGAAAACTTAGGCCAAAGACCATTATTACATAAAATTTTTGTCATGAATGTAGCTATACTAAATCTATTGAGCTTTTTCATTTACGTTTATAGCATTGTTGTCTTAATTTTTATTTTTGTATGACTACTTCGGGATCATTGCTACTATTTCAAGGTAATTGATTATACTGAATTTTTAATTACAAGAAGTATATGACATTTCAGATTTATAATATTAATATAAGTGATAGCTCTTATTTATTGAGCCCTAACCATATGGCAGCAGCTATATTAAATGCCTCAGATGCCTATCTCATTTTCTTTAACCTTCAAAGTCATTTTCTGAGACACTCAAGAATTAAAGAAAGTTAAGTACCCTTTCCAAGGTCACACAGCCAAAGTTCAAATCTGATTCCAGAGGTTGTTTTTTTAAATACTATGTTACACTGCTCTTCTCTGTGAGGCCTGTTTATCTGAGTTAGAATTTTAGTAGTATTTCATGTTGGGAAAGTCATCTTTAGGAAGCAGCATAAGAACAAATTATAATCTTTTTGGAGGTGAGTTGGGGGAAGACTTAACTTAGTTTTTCAAGATATAGTATTTTTGTTTCAGGAAAGCATACTGTCTTAGCTTGGGGTGCCATACAGTGCCATAGACTGAGTGGCTTAAATAAGTCGTGTATTGTTTCTCAGTTCTGGAGGACAGAGTCCAGCATGGTTGTTTTCTGGTGAGGACTCTTCCTGCTTTGTAAGCAACTGCTTTCCCACTATCCTCACATGGTGAGAAGAGAGTGAGTAAGCTCTGTGGAGCTTCTTCTCACAGCGGCACTAATCCCATCATGAGGTCCCCATTATTATCTCATCTAGACCTAATCACTCTGATCATCTTCCAAAGTCAGAGACCATCACATTGGGGAATAGGGCTTGGCATATTAATTTGGGGGAATACAATTGAGTTCATTTGATGAAATATCCCATGAAATCTCCATGATGCGGGGAAAACTCAGTTCTATAATATATTAGGTAGGTTTAGAGCTGAATTAAATAGCTATGTTTGGTATATTAATGTATAAGTATCAGTTGGAAAAGTTCATGGTCTACAGTGCCATGCACTAAGGCTTTTATTTTTTTACTGAAAGGGATAGAGAGTTAGAAACATCAACATCGATGAGAAACACATCGATCAGCTGCCTTTTGCACACCCCCTACTGGGGATGTGCCCACAACCAGGGTACATGCCCTTGACTGGAATCAAACCCAGGACTTTCAGTCCACAGGCTGATGCTCTAGCCACTGAGCCAAACAAGTTTCGGCTATAAGACTTTTTAACTCAGCAAATATTTATTTGCTGTGTTGCAGACTTGGAAGGTGTTACAAATTAATTAGAACATGAACCAGGCATTTGCATCTATAGAATTTCACTTCCTATAGTAATTAGTGAAATAAACTTTTTAACAGTAAGGACTTTTCTTTTTGATTCATTGCAGTATCCCCCAAAACCAGCCCTGTTTGGTAATATAAAAGTTTTCTTGAGTGAATTTAGAAGGAAATGTTATGTTAAAATTGTAATAATATCAGAGATTTACAACCTAAAAGTCAACAATAAAGGATGATTAAATAATGGGGCATCTAAATGATGGGATGTTATGAAGCCATTTAGAAGAACACTTAATGATGCCCTGGCAACATTCATTATATTAATAAGTGGGGGGGGGAGAGGAGTGTACAGCACTCACTGCATGTAATATTAATTTTTCAGAAAAATATGTATTTAAAACATGCATTATTGAAAAACAAAATTACTCAGATTGGTTATCTCTGGATAAGATTGTGATGATTTTCTTTTTAACATTTCCAAAATTCCTATAGTTTTCATGTATTTTATAATTAGAAAAACAAGTATTGTTTTTAAACTGTCCTTTATAAGTGTGCTAATTCTGACTTGCCAAGTATAACACTGGTTTTCGTTTTCTTCCTGAAAATATTACTAAAAATGTGTTCTACTATTAAATCATTTTGTTTTAAATGGCATTGTTAAGAAAACCAAAACAGTATTTGTTGCCTACTAGAGTAGTGTTTGTTCTTGACTTCTCAGGTTAAGGCAACAAGAACAAAAACAGAGCCAGGAGTCCAGAAAGATTGCAAGTGGGAAAGCGGATGGTCCACAGGGCGATGCCCTGGAAGAAGGTTTGGATGATTATTTGACTCGCCTAATAGAAGAGAGGGATACTTTGATGAGGACGGGTGTGTATAATCACGAGGATCGAATCATAAGTGAACTTGACCGACAGATCAGAGAGGTTTTGGCAAAAAGCAATACCAGTAATTAATAACATTTGGAAAATCTTTATAGACTTCAAGACTAAATTTTAATTTCATTGTGAAACCCTTAAATGAAAGGCAAAATGGATGTTTTAAGATGCAATTTTCAATTTTTTATAAGCAAAAATTGTATATGCTATTGTATAGTTATTTATTTGATTTTATTTACTTTGTGCTACCTCTCCCATTCAGGTTTTATTTGTAATTGCATTTTATATACTCATTTAAATGCCTTTTCAGTGTTCCTCGTAATTTATAATTTCATGGCCGAGATTTCAAAACAGCTTTTCATTAAATTTATCCTAGGCGAAATGACTACAGTAATTTCCAGTTACATAATTTTTCATGTTGAGCCAAAAGAGTACATGTTGCACTTTAAAAATGTGTCCTATTCATTTTGAATATAGATATTTTAATTGTTTAGATCAATTGCAAATGTAAACAGTTTTATTTAACTCATTTAGATATCCTCTTTTTTACTTTTAACATTAGCAAGTGACACATTTGAAAACAGAAAATAGGATAAATGCAAAGAATCCATATGGTAATACTGAGAGACAAGTTAGTCGTTTTTAAACCTGTTTCAAGCTCTATTGAATTTTCAAATTTTCAATGTGCTCTTAACTTTTAAGAATATAAAGTAACAGCTTAATAAGGTCTTTGTCAGCCTCTTGCACAAGATTGCATCATTTTCTTTTGTTGAAAATAGAGATTTATTTTTATTTTCCAGTAATAGTAAGACTAGTTAACTTTGTAATATAGAAATAGATACTTTTAAAAAAAAGACTTTAGCTGGGAAAGTAGAATGAAGAAAATTTTTTCTCTCCCTATAATTTTAATCAGTCTTTTTAAAAAGTACATGAGATTAAATCATTGGAATTTATGTAGTGCCATGTTTGTATAAACTTAAGAATTCCTTTACATCATATTCTTCAGAGTACTTCCCTCGTCCTTTTAAAGGGTACTAAAAAGGCTTATTAGAAAATTTCCAGTTTGGTGAGTCTTTAAATATATGTAGTTTGAAATTTTATTCCCAAATATAATAAATTTAAGTATGTACTTCAGATGGGATATATACTATTTACTGATAACTTCTGAAAAGCAGAATAGGCCATTTGATACACTAAATTTATTTTCTGTTGCTTTCCAAAAAGGTATGTTTCTTGTTTGGGAAATTAAAGTCCCCACATGCATTATATGTTTTTTTTTTCTTTATTAACAAAGTATTAATCTAAAAACAACCTTGCAGTAAATTACAGAGAAAAAAAATTACTGAATGAGAAAATAATGAATATGTGAATCATAACAAGAATTTGAAACATTAATTATGGTTAGGCATTTTCTCATCGAATTTCATGCCATGTAAATTGAACAGTTTTTGTTTTGGGAGGTATTGGGCAAAATATAGTGACTGCCTTCAATTGCATTGTGTACTGTGTGTGACTCTTCTCAAACACTAGAGGGGGCCTTAGATTTAAAGAAACAAAAAGGACTTTTCTAAAATGGATGTGTGGTTTATTTTGCCTGCTGTAAAGCTATCTTTTGGCTATGTATTTTAACAAATAAAATGGTAATTGAATGCCTGTTTGAGTTCCTGAGCAGTCTGTTACTTTTGTTCTAAACTGAGTGGGCCAGTGCTTGACACTTGCCCTATCAAGTCATTTTGTATCTTTGGTCTGTAAGTACTTACATTGTATATGCCTTTTTGAGTGTCTTTTTTTTTAAATTGGAAGTGTGAAATTTTAACACCTTCAGCAACAGCCACTTCATTTATATGTGGTATTTAACATATTTATACTGATTGCTTTAAAAGTAGTGCCAATCCTTGGGACTCCAGTATGACCACAATAGGTGAATTAATTCATTCATCACTCACTTGCTCAATTCAATTTCCTCATTACTACATATAACTGCAGATCTTTCATTAACTATTTAACTGTGAAATAAAATTCATCTTTAAAATATGATTCCTTTTCATGGAGAAAGTCTAGTTTCCATGTCTAAAGTTGGCACACACTGTATGGGCGGGGCTGTACCATGTCTACTAGGTATGTGTGGTGCCATGTATGTATAAACTTGAAGAGTTCCTTTACAGGTATACCCAGGACTTTCTATCGAGAGCTAATTCTTTTGCTCCTAGCAGTTGTGGGAGTTTGAGTATGACTTAAGGATGTATTGGGGCCCAGTACAAACACCTTAAGAGTAGATCATCTAGTGCAGTGTTTCCCAAAGTGTGGTATGTGTACCCCCAAGGGTATGGGAAGAGTTTGGTGGGGGTACGCACTGCAATGTGCTTAGCTGCGCCTAATTCTACGTTCTCATGAGTACGAGGGGTACTCAGCGTTATGAAAATTATAGAAGGGGTACACATATGTCAAAAGTTTGGGAAACACTGATCTAGTGTGATCAGATGACTTCCTTGGTCCACTCACTGCTCTGTCCAGATACTGCCCTGTGTGAATCTGAGTTCTCAGATAATCCCAATCCATACTCCCTGTCCTCAGCCACCTCTGAATGGACTGCTCTGGGTCTTATAGTCTGTAAGAAGGATCCTCTGGTAATATCTGTGGACTTTTAAAATTTTACCTCACTACTATTATGTCCAGCTTGACTGAATACTTGATTTTTAAAAATCACATGCCATAAATAAAATTCACCATTTTGCCAAAGCCGGTTTGGCTCAGTGGTAGAGCTTCGGTCTGCGGACTGAAGGGTCCCAGGTTCGATTCCGGTCAAGGGCATGTACCTTGGTTGCGGGCACATCCCCAGTAGGGGGTGTGCAGGAGGCAGCTGGTCGATGTTTCTCTCTCATCGACGTTTCTAGCTCTCTATCTCTCTCCCTCTCTGTAAGAAATCAATAAAATATATATTTTTTAAATCACCATTTTAAAATATACAATTCAGTAGTTTTTAGTATATTCATACACTTGTACAATCATCACTATTACCTAATTCTGGAACATTGTCATCATCCCCCAAATAAGCCCCATACTCATTAGCAATCATTCCTCATTCTCCCCTCTTCCTACCCCCTAACAACCACTGATTTACTTTATGACTCCATAGATTTGCTTATTCCAGACACTTCATATATATGGAATCTCAAATTGATATTTAAAATTGGAAATATGATAAGATTCTGCGGTATACAACGTTTTATCAGTGTTGGACTAAATGATAGAGATGCAGGAGGCCGACATAAGGATATAACGTTTGTCCATTGGGTAAGAATACAGCCCAACTACTCTACCATCTGCTGCCCAATAAAGCAGTGACCAAAAATAATAGTAAAAGAAGATAATGTTCTGCTGCAGCATCTCTGAGCAAGCCCGCAATGTTGAAAATGGGTTACTGACACCAGGTATGTGCCATTGGTTTCTTATCAAAATGGTCTACTTTCCCACATGTTTTATAGATTTTGGGGATAATGAGAAGCATAGTTGACCATAACAGAAAGTTCATCAGGACAGAAATCAGGTCTCTCTTAGTTTCTGCTATATGCCAAGACTAAAATAAAATAGTACCTGCCTCATGTAGGCACTCATTATTTGCTGCACTCATAAAGAACAAGTTCCATATGATTTCACTCATATGTGGAATTTAATGAACAAATTGAACTACCAAGGAAAATAGAGACAGATTCATAGATAATAGGCAGACAGGTCTAGGGGTGGGAGTGGGAGTTGGGGTGTAAGGATTGAGAGGTTAAAAAACAACAACTCGTGGACATGGACAACACTGTGGTGATTGTGAGGGGGAGAAGGGTGGAGGAAGACAGAAGAGGGCATAGAGGGGATAAATGGTGATGGAAAAAAAAATGAACAAAAGCTTGTATATTGTCTGGATTATGGGTAGTGGAAATAGTTCTGCAGCATTGTAAATATATTCAATGCCACTACATTATTCACTTGAAATGGTAAACATTGTATGTTATATATGTTCTTTCACCACAAGAAGAAAGTTTGCTTCAAACTCTGCCTCAAAGCTGATACCCACTATTTTCATGCTAAAAGTTTTCTGCACACGAGTTACCTGTCAGTCCATTTTTGAAGATATTATCTTCTCAGTCCTTGATGCAGGAGTGACTGACTTAGATTCTTCATTATGTGTTTGTAGCATCTTTATTAACAAAGTATGAAATAAGTGAAAATTAATGGCTACATTTTCATCCTGTCCTCTCAAGTAAACTGCAGGGCCCTGAAATGTGGAACTGTATTGCTTTCAGGTTTATAAAATTAAGGTCTTGTTAACCTTTCAAAAAAGAACAACAACAATGTTTTTAAAAACCACTGGCCGTTTCATATAGCAGATAGCCCAGGCCATGCATATATATATTAGACAGTGAATTACAAGTTCCCTAACATAGGCTTAGTATCTTTTTGTTGGCTCCAGTCTTAGTGTTGTCTGGTGGTCTTATTAACTGATAAAATGATTTGTGTGGGGATGCTGAATAAAGTCTGGTTGAATAATTTTAATATGTTATGACTTGAAATTTAAATCTGTCTTTGATATTTGTGTTTTGGCAACTGTGACATAGGCCATGGAGACCAGACTTTTCAGCATGTCCTTTTCTGCCACCTGCCCTAGAGCACAATCAAATTACACTTCTTCCTATCCCGTGGGCCCTCCGCTCCGCTCCCATTACTCAGAGAAAGATGTAACATCTATCCTGGTGTAAATGGGAAATACAGATTTTTTTAAGCACCTACATGTTTTCACTGAAACCAAAAGAACCAGAGAGCCCACTGATTCTGTTATATAACCTCTATTTGGCATCAAATTAGAATCCACTGTTAGGAATGTACTTGTAGGAAGGTTGCTATATACTTAAATCTCATTTTATTTGCTTCTCTGGGATTGTCTTTGTGTTTTCATTAGAAATGTTTTTACAGATGTAGGTGCCTCAGATATAAAGTTGCTGAAGTGGAGACTCAGAGTTGAGCTTTCAAATGGAAGGGGGTAGAAATTAGATTAATTTATAGATAAATAATTTGCTGACTCTGATACATTAATGTACAATAATCCCTGGAGGCTTTGAAAAATACAGTCACTATGTTCTTAAGGTTCCTGAGAATGTTAGGTTTGTCATTCAAAATAGGAAAGAACTAAAATAGGGTCCATTTGTAATTTCTTCTTAGAAACATTTCATCCACAAATTCATAGACAAATATTTTTTCTTTCCCAAATAGCTTATCTAATAGTTGGACAGCATAGCCCTTTTCTTGATTAACATGTTAACCAGTCAAAAGCATACAGACACGTTAGACAAGTGCTGAATTTTCCTCAATATTTTAGAGTAAAACTTGGCAAGAGCAAATGAAGTATTACTGCAAAATCCTACTTTGACATTATTGTAAATTTTAGTGAATGCCAGCCCAATAGTGAGAGAGTCTGCCTTATA